AATTGGATACACCGGAAATTTTCTAAATTTCTTCCGGTTTAAGGACGCTTGTTATTGTTTACATTAGACCACCCATCCATACCTTTAAAATATACCTCGTTTATACCTCATTTATACCTGGATTTTTTCATAAGGGAAGACATGGAGCCTATCTTCTCCCCTCAGATGGCGTAATTGAGCGTTGCCATCCCGAATGCATTTTTGTGCCAGAACCAGGGACTAATATAGGGATAAGAACTTCTCACTTTTCCTAGGGTGTTTTGAAAAGCAACATGTTATTAACAGGCCGGTTTTACACACAAAAAGTGGCGTTCGCAAGTCGCATCTTTATGTATATTATTTTCTGATATATCCGCCGTACATATGCATTGCGCGTAATAACTCATAATTTATGTAAATATTGAAGCATTGCTGCCTTTATGAGTGTTTTTTTAAAAGAAAGCAATCGTATTCTGCGTTGCAGGTAATGGGAAACCACGAAAACCGCTTTCAGTTTACTTGAAGTTAATGATTTCCAGCTAAATGCTCAGAAATCGCATTGAATTTTTTTATATAATGAATCGTTTTGTTAGCATCCTTGACAGACAGCCAATCATTTTTGTGAATATAACTAAATGCTGTTCTTTCTTTTATATATATAAATTTTAACTCACCCAGAAATCAAAGTAGCTCGTAATTTCAATATCGGAGTAAAACTATATTTATGAAAGTTATTGAAATAATTTATTTTAATCAAGATTAAATTTAAATTTTCAGATTTTGAGTTACGTGCAAAAGAAAAACCTCGTAGATTTTTTTTTTCAGATTGCTTTTACCGGTATAAGGATTCCAGTTAAATGTGCATCATCTCAAAGATATCATTTTTTAAATATCAGTAATTTTTTTATCATCTTTGTTAGATGGCCTATCATCTTTGTGAATCTAACAATACGCTTTTATTATTTTTAATTCAACCCAGAAATCAAAATAACTCTCAATTTAAGTATCGGAGTACAGTCATATTTATGAAAATTACAATAATAACTTATTTTAATTAAGATTAAATTAGAATAATCAAATTACGAAAAAGTCTTTTAGATTGCTGAGTGGTTAAAGGATTTCAGTTAAATGTTCATAATCGAAATGAAATTATTTTTTATAATCAGCAAAAAAAAAAATTTTTCATCCTTGACAGACAGCCTATTATCTTAGTGAATGTTGTGAAGCACTCTTCATATATTTTTAATTTTTAACACATCCCAGGAATCAAAGTAACTTGTAATTTGAGTATCGGAGTAAAATAATACATAAAAGCTATTGTAGTAGCCTGTTTCATCTAAAATTAAATTAAAATTAAAACAAATCAAATTTTGCGATGCAAGCTAAGGAAAATCACGAAAATGTTTTTCGGGTTTCTTGATGGTAACAGGATACCATCTAAATATGCGTTATAACAATGAAATTATTCTTTAATAATTAATCATTTTTTTTATTATCATCCTTGATATCCTATCATCTTAAGGTCTGGTTTCTTAGGACTTGCGCCTTATCTGGGCGTTAGCGGGACGTCAACGTCCTACTGACGCCAACAAAATACTGGTTTGTTAGCTCAAGGCCTGGTTTCTTAGAACTAGCGCCTTATCTGGACGTCAGCGGAAAGTTGACGTAGAGCTGACGCCAAAAAAATACTTTTTTGTTAGCTCAGCGTGAGCAGTCGGTCCAACGCAGACATTATCTCTCATTGCGCATGCGTTAATAACGTAAACAAATATTTATTTTGAATTTGTATTGATTTTGTTATTGTCGACCAGTGTTTTAGAGAACAAATAATGACTTTGTCCAAGAAAAAACACATTATAGCTGAGCTAAATGAAGAGTGCTATGTTTAATGAAGAAGCTATGTTTAATGTCAAAATCAAAATCTTGGCTGATTTCAATGTGCTGTTGGATGTTGTCCGCCATTGCTTCTGTGGTTAACGTCACGTTGTAATCCAACTGCAGTTGAGTTGGACGGCAATTGTAGTTCAAGATGAGCGTTCGATGACGTATACTATCAAACTCACAAATGGACCAATCAGAGGTTAGCGCTGATTTCCAGCTGACGGCGTCCTGTCCTAAGAAACCAGGCCTTTTAGAGAGTGTTGTGAAACGCTCTTCTTATTTTTGTTCTCTTTTGTACTTTTGTACACAATCCAGATATCAAAGAACTTATAATTAAATGCAGGAGTAAAATTATATTTTAAAAGACTTTTTCAATGAAAATAATTAGAATTTGCATTACCCACAAATAAAAACCCAGAAAACGTTTTAATTTATGCTAAGAGACGATAATGAAACTCTATCTTAGTATAATTATTAATATTTTCAAATTTATTATGCTTTATTTGAAATTTAGTGCTTTGGGCAGCTTAGATTGCTTACAAAAATTCTCTTTATTTTATTTATTTTAAGTACTTAAATTGCGTTTTTTTAGTTAATTGCGTTTTTTATAAAAAGTAAATTTTTAAAAATATATTAGTTTTTTTAAAAATTAACAAAAAAATTCAATTTAACATCTGTAAAATTTTTAATTTCAAATTTTTCTGGCACAGAGACAAAGATTGAATGTTATTAATTAATTTTATTCCCTTCAATTTAAAAAAAATTAAATAAAAACGAACAAATTATATACAGTGAGGTCAAAGTTCACCATGACGTCCGTTTGGTCCAGTGATTGATTTTTCTGCCTTTATATCTATGGCAAGAACAAAGGAGTTTTACATGTGCGCATTAGAAATTTTCACAGGTTCAATAATTTATTAAAGCTATTAGTCTTCATCAAGAAATTTATATTTTTAACAACGTTTAAATTTTGAAATACTTTGAAGTCGTTCTTGTTGTATGGCAAACGTTTGCGGGAAAACTAGCAAATCACGTTCTCGGTCTCATACCGAATTCCCAAATTTTTTGTATGCAGTAAGAATGTCCCCGAAAAGGAATCTACCACGAAACCCTCGTCGACTTTGCGAACTAGACCGTTTTAAACGTTGAATCACCAGCTTGTCCTAATTTCAAAACTTGTTATTTTAATTTCTAGCGTTTGGCAACTAACGGCTAAATTTAACCGCCGCGAAATTGCCATTTTAGCTTCGTGTGGGGTGCGGTTTACCGGCTTATAATTATCTATATTTTAGTAATAATAAAGTTATTATCATGTCTTCAAAAACAAGAAAATCGACTGCGTCCACTCCTGTGCAGTCAGCAGGAGCCAGTACTTCCCAATCTAAGAAAAATACTCCTCTTAGCCCGGCCCGTGTTTCTCGTATGGAAGAAAAATTGCAGCTGCAAAATTTGAACGATCGTTTGGCTACTTACATTGATAAGGTGCGATTTTTAGAAAATGAAAATTCACGGCTTGGTGGTCAAGTCACTACGATTCAAGAGAAATACGAGAGGGAAATAAAGACTACTAAAGAACAGTATTTTTCGGAAATCGGTGGGTTACGTACTGCACTTGATGCAACCAGTAAGGAAAAAGCTCAAGCACTCATTGAATTGAATAATATTCGAGCTAATATTGGTGAATTACAGAAAAAGTAAGTATTTAATGTGCATTAATTGATTACATTAATCTGTTTTATTTATTTAAATTTGAATTAATATTCAGGTTTTGTTTTGATATGCCTGTTATGACAAATTCATGTTGAAACAGTTGACATTTTTAATGTTATATGTTTAGAAAGTTTTATATCTCATGATATTTAATTTGAGCGATTATGGGCACAAACTATGTTGAAAAGCCTTTGTAAATAAGCAGTTTTAAGGGTATATAGCTGTTTATTTTTTACTTTACTACCTTGATAACTTGACTGTTAAATGTGATATTTCATTGAATATAAACTAAAAACTTAGGAATAATAATAAGTTTTACCATCACCGAAATATCATATTAAATATGCTCAACTTCTGACATGACAGAGGTTGTTACTATACGACTGTAATGCACAACCTTCATATCATTCGGGCCCGAATGGCCCATGTATACTTTCCAACAACTGCAGAATTTCCCTTAGTTTGCATTAAATACTTTTCATGGTGATAGCTTAGATTTTAAAGCAGTTCAAGTGGCAATGTCATGGTTCTGAACACTGCTTGCTTTTCTTTGACGCACTGAGTGATTCAGTTCTGATTCATCATCAGATATGACATAAGCACCTCGTAAAGTAATAGACCAGCTATATTTCATCATTGCAGGTGTTAAGATGTTTTTAGTTATTAGTATTCATATAAAAGTTTAAGTGGTCAACAAAAATGCTAGCACTTGAACTGCCAGTTCAACTTATTGTAATAGTTATATCTTTTAAGACAGGGTGTGTAGCGTTTTTAAAAAGTGCTTAAAGGTTCTTATTTTCGTTTTCAAAAGTCCTTAAAGGTGCTTTTTTTCATTGGGTATTTTTAAAAAGTACTTAATTTTCCCTTTTTTAAAAATGAGATTTTTCCTTTACCGTGCTGATTGATTTCCTTTACTTTCGCTATGAATTATGCAAAAAAAGAAACAATTCACATTGTTCTATTCAACGTTATCCCAATTAATTTAACCCCAATCTATTTTGGCGTAGTGTCAGTCCGTAGCGTATGAAAACGCCATTTGTTTTACATGATTCAAAATTTCATGATTTTTGACAATTGTCAAAAACAATGCAAATTTTTTTTTTTTTTTTTTTTTTTTTACTTGACTTGACGGTTACAAGAAAACCATCAATTGTCAAAAACTTTCCAACCTTGCCTAATTATGGCATTTTTTTAAAGTGCTTAAAAATATTTTTTTAGTGCTTGAAAAGTGTTTTAAAAGGTGCTTATTTTTTGTAGAATAATTTGGCTATGCACCCTGTAAAGTAATTAATAATGAGATTAAACTCCTGTAATGTTCAGTTACCATTTCTGATTCAGAAGTTGATAAGCATTCTTTTACACTAAAGCTATCTATTTAAAATTTGAAGAAATCAGGGGTCTGTCTAGGTTTTTCTGAGAGGTACCTATTTTGTGAAAATTTAGACATAATTTGTGAAAAATTGAAAGTTATACTTAAAAGTCAACACAAAAATATGGTAAAAATGTGGATTTATCGTTTCTTAAGGGATACAAAAATAAAATTTTAAGAAAAAGTATTTTGTGAAACTACAGTTTTTCTTAAAATTGAATTTGTGAAACTACCGTTTTTCCTAAAGTAGAATTTGTGAAGGTACCGCTAAACGGTAGTAAATTCGGCCTGGACAGACCCCTGGAAATCAAATTAAATGAGAAAGAAAATGCTATAAACACAATACTATTAAAGTAAATAAGCTTTCGATTGCCAGAAGCTAAAAGTATGATTGCAAATGAAACAAATCACCTCAATTTCAGTCGCCTTAATGTTTTAACGATTTTTTAAAAATATTTTATAATTTCACAGATATATAAGAGGTTAGACAAATACTCATGTTCAAAAGCTCTGATAAACTTTTTAACAGAGATATTTCCTTATTAGGATCTGTCATGTCAAGAACAATTAGCAAGGCACCGAATAGTTTTAAACTTTTTAAAAAAAGTGTTTTGTGGGCTGCTGCCTGAAAACCGCCAAGATTTGGCAATTATCCTGCTACAAATCATGAAGGGAGTTTTCAGTATCATGATTTGAGGACAAATAGCTGCCAAGTCTTGGCAACTTCCCAGCAGCGGCCCGTGAGAAACTAAAAGTTAATAAAAAATATCACAGAAGAAATCAACTTGAAAGGTATAACTCTTAGTCACCTCCAAGCAAAATTTTTGTTTTTGTTTTTAAATTTCAAGTTTAAAATCTATTTGGCATCTTGGCGATTATAGTTGCCTTGGTAGATGCCATTAAAGAAATATATCCTGTCACGATGCCGGAAAAAAAATCACCCAAACAATAGTGCCGTGATTGCCTTTTCACTTTACGTCCGGAATGGTCTGAAATATTAATAAAATAATGATTTAAGTGAATATATCAAAATATATTCTTAGCCGTGCTCTGTAAGTTATTCATATAGTTCACAGCCTTTCTCTGAATATTGGATAGTAATAATTTTATTTTTCCAACTTAGTTTCTGACAGTAAATTTAGTATTGAGACTAAAATGTAATTTTGATGAAATCATATTCAGATATATTCTGTTTAGAGTTAACGGATAATGAAATAGATAAATCCATTGGACACTTAGCATTTTCTTTGGTTGATTGACTCCGTAGTTATGTCGATTAGCTTTGACAAAGTTGTAACCAGTGGTAACTAAAAAAGAAACGGCCGACTGAATATGAAACTGGCAAATATATACAGTGTTAGTGATAAACAGTAAATTTTACTTTATTTTCATTAGTGATGTAACGAATAGTGATGGGGCCGAATACTTACTTTTTAAAAAAAAATTCTCTTTTGATTGTAATTAAAGTAATTTTCAAATTTTAAATTAAAAATTAAATCAATATTAACAAAATTGCTTTTTTAATCTTTGTATATTTAAAAAAAATTTAACTTTATTTATTTTTTGTAATAATTTAAATATCTTGATGCCAATAACAAGGCAATATGGCTTTTATAAATCTAAATAATTAATAATGGCATATTTTAGTTATAGTTATACTTGTAATTTATATGCTACTTTATTTAAGATAAGAACTCATTATTTACTACTGTTTAATGTATTCTTAACTTTCTTTTTTGTCAGAAAAATTATTAAAACTCAGAAAGTTAAGAACTTTTTAAAAAAATTCGCTTTTGAAATTTTAATTTTGTTATTAAATAATTTTCAAATTTTAAATTAAAAATGAAATAAATATTAACAAATTTTCTTTTTTGAACGTTCTATATTTTAAAAAAAATTTAACAACTTGATGTATTTTTTGTAATAATTTAATTATCTTGATGCCAACAATAAGGCTTTCACAAATCTAAATAATTAATAATAGCAGCATAATTAATAACAACATGTACTTCATTATTCGGCTAGGCCGAATATTCGGTAAAAGAGCCGAATATTCGGTACATCCCTAATTTTCATTATTGGTTCATGATGAACAGAATATAGGAAGAGCGTTTCTTCTGTACCTATTTATGTGAACTACCAGGGGTCTGTCCAGGCCAAATTTACTACCGTTTAACGGTACCTTCACAAATTCAACTTTAGGAAAAACGGTAGTTTCGCAAAATACTTTTTCTTACAATTAAATTTTTTTGTGTTGATTTTCTAATATAATTTTTAATTTTCACAAATTATGTCTAAATTTTCACAAAATAGGTACCTCTCAGAAAAACCTAGACAACAGACCCCTAACTACATCACCAAGTCACGAAAGGGTTTTATGCATAAACATTTAACAAAAGAAAGATTTGCCTGGAAGGTTGCTATAAGTTATACACAGTCTACAGAATATTTGTCCATACTATCCATTCTTGTTCACATCAATTACCTTTGCTAAGCAAAGGGATTTTTAAAATTGCATATAAAGTTTTTTATTTTAGTTTGATGTATGTTTCTGGTTTCTGTCCTTGGTGACTTTTTTTGGCATGTGCTTCTAATTTGTAAATCTTTCACCAGTTCCGAGTTGATTTCCTTCCTAAATGTTTTTTACATTTCTCTCATTCTATTTCCCAGCTGTAGCTTAAATTTTAAGTAGGCCCAATAAGAAAATATTCCTGCCTAGAAGTTTTTTTCTTCGAAATCTGGGTATATTTCAAGGATGAGATTTTTCTGCCTTTTAGTTACCATTTCACATAGCTACTTACTCTTCTGCATTTTAGAAATCCGTCACTAAATTTTTCCTTTTCTTTATAAAATTGTTCAAACATGTGTTATATCATATTCAAAAATATTGTATTAATACATCCTTTTTGCTTTCTGACCACTGTCATTCCTGCTATTTTAGTTTAGTTCATATTCTTCATTTAAGTTGGACTCTCTCTGTGATTTATTTATTTATTTTTATAAAGTTTTATTTGTTATTGTTCCATTGTCAGGAAAACTTGGCATTTAGGCGCAGGTCGTAATGCAAAAATTTTCCTGATTGCTGGATATATTTGCTTTCAAGGAAAATTTATAAAAAGAGTTGGAAATATCAAATAATGACATTCTTTAGTCATATGTGGTTTAATTGAATACTTTTAAAAGCTTGAACAATAGAATTTATTGATTATTATTCTTTTAATATTCAAGAATTAAAATATAAGGTCTGCAATGCGTCTTGTATTTTTACTTTCTTTTACTACTTGCTATAAACATTCTTTATAAAATAATGTTTCACCTTATATACTTAGTAGTTGTATAAAAGAATAATTTGCAGTAGGTTACTCGTTTAATATCTTTTTCTTTAAAGGCAGATAAACACCTGTAATAAAACAATATTGGAGTATCAGTAACTGATTTTTTTTTGTATTTTTAGGTTAACTAAGAAGGAAAGAGATTTTGCATCTGCTGAAAAGACTATTAATAGTTTGGATCATCAAAATCAAGATCTTCAAAATAAAGTCAACCATCTTCAGTCCGATCATAAAAAATTGGAAGAGAACTTTAAGGTAAATCAATGCATAATCAATATCTTAATTTTCTTAAAATTCTAATTTAGTCTTAGCGAATAATAATTCTAAGATAAATACCATGATAGGTAGTAATGTTTAGTTATTTGTATAATATATTAAATAGCTCCTGTATAAGTCCATCCCATATTATTGATTATAATAAATTTATGGTATGTAATGTGTATAAAAGGGGTGCCAAAATAGCCAATCAGGAAATTCCAACGTAAAAAAGATCATACAAAAGAATTATTAAATCTACAACATTTTAAAATATTTCACATTCTTCTCCGAACTCTGAATGTGATACATTGTCCCTTAAATAAAGATGCTGTGAGGCATGATGTAGAACTTTGCAGATAAGGATGAAGTAGAATCTAGCTGCCAACTCTACTGTATTTTGCCAGTTTCTCATGGTCTACTGGTTTAATTAAAATCCTCCTGGTTTTTGTACATTTTGGAAGTTGAGTATGTTTCCTAAAAAAATTCGTATTGAAGTAGAATTTTTGTACAGATTATGGCTTTTTTGAATATTTAAATAAGTATTAGTAATACATAATGAAGCGAATGTCATTTGTAGATATCAGTTCAAAGCTTTTTTTGAGCTAAAGTTATAAATTTATTTTTATTCAGAACTCTTTTTAAATTAATAAAAAAAAAAACTTTTACCTATGTTGCAGAATGATTCAGTTGTGAATGGGTGCATTGAATAAATAAACCATGTTTAAAAACAAACAAACTTTAATAAACAATATGATGGTACGAAATAGGGCTTTCAAATAAGCCATCCAGTTCAATCCATTGCCTGCCACATTAGCGATTACAGAGTTATTGTGAGTGATTACAACGTCCTTTTCTGGTCAGACTATTCTTTGTAACAAACTATTCTTTGATGAATTAAATGTCTATTAATATTCGAAATTAGAAGTAAACAGACATTATAATATTTCAAATATGTTTATGTCAATCATAAATGGAAAATATTGCAGTTTTTTTATTTTGATGCCTAAAATTTCCTATGTGTAAAATATTTACTACATTATGCAAAAATTATCATGAAATTTATATTTTGTAAAATCTCCTGGATATTTTCCTAGCCATGTTGGTACCTATGTAAAATTCATTGTAGAATGTGGCACTGCTGAAGTTATTAAATCTCACACAAATTATGTTCTGGATTCTTTAAATTTGTTACTTACATATATATGTATGTAAAGGTTTTCATTCTGAACTAATTTTTATTTTTGAAAATACTCTTAAATAAATTATCTCACCTTTTCTTATGTTTTTTCTGAACCTAATTTAAAGTATTATTTTTAATAAATACCTTTATATGTAGTGAAAATAAAGATATATGGTATATTTAGTTTCAGTTAAAAAAATTTTAACGAAAATCATCTTTTTACTAATTTAATATTTTCTGATAACTAATTTTGTATTTGTCTTAAATTTAGGAATGCGACCAAGAAAGAAGAAGTCTTGCTGCCATGCTAGCCGAAATAAAAGATCAGTACGATTCAAGTCTGCTAAAGATCGCTGATTTAGAAAATAAATTGCAGAGCATGAAGGAAGAAATTTCTTTCAAAGAGACAGTATATGAAAAGGTTTGTTAATTTTATTATTTTAATTAACTATTTTCTATTGAAAGCCGACTTTTTAAATAACTTCTTAACACAGAAATATTACTTAGATAACAAAATAATTGTAGATTATGTTCAAGAATTTTTAGTTGTTATTTTTTTGAAGTTTTATTATAATAGAGTCCATGTTAGACAAAGATTTTGGTTGTATGTTTAAAATATATTCATAGGTATGGATACATTTCAAATTAACTTTTCTTGTTTCAACCTTAGTTTTCGAGTTTTTTTTTTTTTTCTTCGAACTATCTGCAATTTTTATTATCCAGGGTGCTATTGCCATCCGATTCCGCAGATAGTTTGGACTCTACTGTTATGCTAATTCTATGAAGAAATATTTTACCCCATTTTGGAGAACATTCAGTTGTAAATAACCTGAGGCTTTTTGTTTATTTTAAAAATTTCAATTGATATGTTTTATTTTGAACTAGTTCAACTCGCTTTTAGCTGCACATGTATAGCATTTAACTCATTGGTAAGGTTGCTTTAGCGATATAATAAGAAGTAGTAATATATTTTATTAATTATATTTCTACTTATTTCTATTATCATAAAGTGTATTTCTATTGTGTTTTTGTATTACTGCCATAAATAAAATATCTAAATTAGCAAGCATAGTGTCAATTGTTCATAATATAAGATTAGATGTCTCACATTTTAAGTTTGAAAAAAAAATATCAAAGCCTTTTTGATATATTAAAATGCTTCTAATTTTATTAAAATCCTTTTGAAATTACATCAAGTTTAAAAAAATGACCTTTATGCTTAAATATAGCCTTCATGCTTTATGTTTATTCTTATGTGGTTTGTATTATAGTCACATTCAGATTAAATTAGAATTAAAACAAATGTTACATGAAAGGTTTTTCAAAGTAAGCGCATATGTTTATAAAAATTATTTTACAAAAATTGCCTATATATCTACTGGTATGAAGACATTTTTTTCTTGTCAGCACTTTATGTGTGCTATTCCTATTTTTGTTGACTTATTTCATATTATATATGTTTTAAGTACTTGCTGCAGGCATAGTAAACACAGTTCTTGTCTTCATAATGTTTTATTTCTAGTAAGCATATTCTTTTTTACTTTATAGGAGCTGTCCGATTCTAGAATGTTGAAAACAGTCGAAATTTCTGGTATTGATGCCAGCATAAGACAAGATTATGATCAAAAGTTAGCAGATAGTCTAAGGGAACTCAGGGAACAATATGAAAGCCAGATGTTTGCAAACAAAGATGAACTTGAAGCTATGTATCAGAAACAGGTAAGGTTTTTAATAAGCTTACAAACTGCTTAATTCCTTTTATGTATATAGTCAAAATTCAGATCAAATCTATTTTTACATTGTTACTATTTTCTTTTTGTTTTGTATTTATTTTTCTATTAATTATAGATGGCAGATTTGTCCAGGAACTGTGAGGCTAAAATTAAATCAGCTCATGGTAAAGAAGAAGAAAGTCGCACTATCAAGACGCGTGTAGAATTTTTATCATCTAAAGTGTCAGAATTGGAAACTTTGGTAAGGTTATTTCTTGTTTTATTTTTAAATTCAAAATGTTTTGTTCTTAAGGTAGCTTAAGTAAGTTAGATTAGTAGCCTGTAGTGAGGCAAATTCGCAGCAACACGGCGACATTGTTGCAGAACACTACATAGTTCTTGCAAAAAGATTTTTCTTTTGAAAATTAATCCTGCATTTAAATAACCACTTTTTGGCAATTTACAAAGATAGTATCGTAAATTGATATGTTTCGATTGTATTTTCGTTAGTTATCGATTTTGGTTTTCACGTGGCTTTTAAATGTCCCATTATGTTTTAAACAATATGGAAAATTTGAATTGTGCATTTGAGTATTTACTTTTTAAGGCAATGATTTTATAAATTTTTTTTGGCTGTTATTGCTATCGATTTCTCCATAGTTTTTAAATCTGATTTTATTATTTTTTTTACGATGTGTCTTACAACAACCTAATCTCTAAACTAGACACGCATTTGAGTAACCTCTTTTTGGAGGAGTCCGATTCGCGGCATTTCGTCATCAATCATTTTTTCGCCACTTACTACTACGGATTTCATGATTTTCAATCTTTTATTTATTTATTTTTTATTGTTATGGTTTTTTACAAATTACGAAGAAGGAAATAATTAGTGCGTTCCCCCTCCCCTACAAAATGCGAGAATATCATCCATAGTGTTAGAAGAAAAAATTATTACATGTTTAATTTAAAAATATATACATATATTTGTAAACACACCCTTTTGTTATTTTAAATTAGTACTATATATGTTTGTTACTATTAAAAGTATCTTGCATAAAGAAATTAGAGCTAGAGAATTTTGTCACAGATAGCTTGAATAAATTCTGCCACAGGGGCTAGATTAAGTTCATTTTTAAGGTCCATTTTTAAACAGTGATTTTACTCGCATTTCAGTATCCAATTTTACCATAGTTATATTAAACAACTGAAAAGTTTTTTTTTTTTTTTCATTATTCATATGCAACTAATGGACGATATTTAAAAAAATATTTTTTAATAAATTCTGTGTTTGATAAAAACATTTCCTATAGTTTTATTTGCTACGCATTTTCGGAATGTTAGTGTGTATGTATGCGAGACGAGACAGGCTTGACAATTTATAGTGTTTTCAAGCTTTATCTTTGTTAAACATAACTTTTTTCTTTATTTTCTTCTCTCATTTTTTTCATAATAAGAAGAAATTTTAATGGCTAAATACTTAAGTAAAACATGAAATATGCGAAACTTAATAAAAAATATTCATTTATTGCATGACTCAGAAGTGCTGAAAATAATAATTTTTTTTCCTTACCTTCTAACTAGAATGAGGGACTTAAAAACCGAGTAAAAGATTTAGAGCTATTAATCGAGCAAGAAAGAGAATGGAATGCCATGAAATTAAATGAGAAGGATGAAGAAAACCGTAAGCTGAGAGAGGAGTGTCAAATTCAGCTCAATGAATACCAAGATTTATTGGGAATCAAAGTTGCCTTAGATATGGAAATAGCTGCTTATAGGAAACTCTTGGAAGGAGAAGAAGCAAGGTAATATGTTTGATAATTTAAAATTTTCTTACAAAAAGGTTTTCTACATTAAATTTTGATACTGTATAATATCCGCTTTTCTTAATCTGGGAGTGAAGTAATCAAGTCGGGGGAAGTCACAAAATTAAGTGTAACATGCATATAATGTAACACTAATCATTTCCTCAGTCTCGAAACAAGAAAATATTTTTAAGCTATTACAATGCATGTGATTACTTTTTGTCTTTTAACAGTATAGTTAAAGGGCTAGTTGAATTCGTTAATATGCGTTTCCACATTAGTAAAGATAACAGGAGTAAAACAGTTTTTTTTTTCTTCTTTTGAATCAAGAAATAAGATTTTTTTTGTTTTATTTTTGGAAAAGTAGTTGTTTTAAGTAAGGAAACATCAGAAACTCTGAAAACTTTACTTTATGCTTAGTATAGTTATGTTTGTATATTTCAAGTTGATTAATTTTCCTTTCTAAAAAAAAATAAAAAAGATTACCCATACTTCGACTATTATAAAAAAAAAAATGAATGTACATATTCAATTAGTTATGTTAGATTATATTTATAGGATTCTTTGATAAACACAAAGAATTTGAGCACTGTAAAAATTTTGATAAACAGTGTTTTTTTATATATACATGTTGAAATTGCAATGTTTGAGAAAAAAATGTATAGATTATTAAGATGTATAATATGTTGAAAAATATACTTTTCATGAAAAAAAATTAATTTTCAAAATTTAGTGTGTAGCGAGTAATTAACCACAATCACTGTAACTTGCTAAATATTTTGTTAAAAAATTTTTTCACATTTAATTTGTTAAAAAAATTTTCTTAGTTAAACTTGTTCTTAGTTGTTGAAAATATAGCTTTGTTATGTTCATATATGTGACAAAGTATTAAGGTACAACTGTCAATGTTAAATACAATTATTATTAAAGTTTAATACTGTTTACTTTTAATGTCAATTGTCATAAAAGTTCAAAATAAGTTGGAATACAGATTTTTTTCTTATCTCAGATGCACTGTCAATTGATGTTCCTTGTTTAGTTTAATTTCTTTGCAAATATTTTTCCTATCATATTTATAGGTTATATATTTAATTCTCTTTCCTAATACTTAAGGTAAATAAACTGAATACTATTTAAAGTAGACCAAGCGCAAACATAAAAGGGAAATTTAATTTTAATATTTAGCCAGTTTTGTTACTTAGTTAAATTTTTTCAACAGGTTAAACATTTCTCATGAAGAAAGCAGCATATTGGGAGAATCAGTATCGCGAAGTACACCAGTTCGTCGCACTCCTCTTAGAACCGCCAAGAGGAAACGTGCTCATTTTGAGAGTGAAGAGACATCTGCCAGTGATGTGCAAGTGACAGCATCAGCTAAGAGTGATATTGAAATCTCCGATCACGACTTAGAGGGAAAATATATCAAAATTCACAATAAGGGCAATACTGTAAGAATAACTTTTATCTTTTCTTTTGCTATATTGATAATTTGAATTTAATATAAAATATCAATAACAAAGAAAGTTTTACTTTATTTCCCCAAGTAAAACTCTAGCTAAATAATGTGTAGTTTAGTGACATTTTATGAGGTATATTTTGTTTTATGTATCCGTGCTAGGTATACTACTTGTTAATTATCTACTTGCTGCTTTTAATTCTAGGAATTCTGGTTAATGGAAATTCTCATTGGTTTTATGTTGGTTAGTTAATAAATAGTTTGTAAGCAATTTCTAAATGAAACTGTAACGAATAAACTAGATATTTGTCGATAGCTAGTACATTTTTAAAAACTTTAATGTCTATAGATTTAAAATATTGTGTTATAATTTTAATTAAATTCAATAAGTTCATGTTAGTATAATTCTTGAATGGAAGTTATGTTAAATATTTACCAAAAAAAATTTATCGAAAAAAAAGAAACACTTTATTCCAAGATGAATTTTTTGGCAACATTATTATCCTTTTATGTAGTTCAAACTCAGATTAATTCATTTTCTCTTGACTCTTTGGGTGTTTTATTTAAATTCCTTGATTTTCTCCGATTGATAAAACTCCCTATGCTATTGCCACTCAATAGTGGCCAAAACTTTTGACTTGAATGGCTTAAAGACGGAGTTTCTGGGCATTAAGTGAAACTCCAACTAGCATCTTGATCAATTGCAGTTGATTATTGTGGGCATAAAGGTTTGTCTGAGAAAAAGAGCTACATTGAGACAACTGCTCTGTTGAATTGAGAGAACCAAGTGCAATAACTGCATATTGCTGGTGTATATAAACAAAAAGCAGGAAGATCAACAAAAAAAAACTTAATAAAATAAAGCAATTCAAAAGAAAATTAGTGTTCGGGCCTTACATTGGTGCAGGTTTGGAACAGCTGCTTAAATTGCTCTAAACTGCTTAAGAACGAAATTTCTGCTCTGAAATGATTATGCTGACAGACTGTTTCAATCCCTGTTGGTGTTAAGAGATTGAAAAAAAAAATTTCAAATTAAGGAAATATTCATTTAGGTTTGGTCTAAATAATGAACTAACTTGTTGGTCAGGGTATCTTGAAACCGAAGCTTAAAACACAGCTCATCCTATGTATTAAGTCAAAAAAAAAAAAAATTTGAAAAGTACATTTTAAAGCAATTTGATGAGCTTCCTTATTTTAGATTTGGTCGTAAGATTCCAAATCATGGTGCTAGATGATAACCACTTTCTCATGTGGAGAATATTTTGGATGCTATTAATGTGTTGATTAAACATTTCATTATTTAGAAACATATGTCATAAAGAACTTTAAAACTATTTAATAGTAAAATTTCTTTGAATATTGATTTTTTTTTGTGGAAGACAAATGTATTATTACTGTTTATTTTGCAGGAGGTTCCTTTAGGAGGGTGGCAATTGGTTCGCAAAGCTGGTGATCAAGAAATCATTCACAAATTTACTCGAACTACTCTCATCAAACCAGATACATACATAACGGTTTGTATCTTTTCACCTCTTAAATTTTGATTCCACAGTATAAGATTTAAGTGGAATTAATAAAATGACCTAATCTAATTTAGCAGTCTTATTTCCAGAGATAGTAAAAGGAATTTATGATACAATTTTGGATTTAAAAAAGGTTTATATTTATTTGTGAACGAAATAAAACAAAGTACTTAATTGTGAATCAAAATTTGTAAAGGGGATGGTTTTTAAGAAAATTCTGAATAATTTGTTCACGCTGTATTACTTAAAAATATGAACTTCAAGGTTACTATACTAAAATTTTATTTGTAAATATTGTAATGAGTTGTGAAATGTTTTCCATTACAATGTTTATTAATTTTTTTTCTTCGTGTCCTATCATAATTATAGTTTTCCCTTCCTCACTCTGATTTAATCTTAACAATTTTGATGAAAGATGTCTCTGAGAAGTTAAGATTTTTTTATATTATTATTTATTTTTTATGCTTGTTGCACGGCTGCCAACTCTTTAGCATTTTCTGCCTTTTTACAATGGGATCTCTGCATTTTGAAAGTGTACATTAAAATTTTGCACATTCTTAAATTTGCTTATCTATACGCATGTATGAGCTTGAGGATATGCTTTCCTGCCTTGCTGAGACAACAATGGCATTTTAAATTTTCCCTGTCATTCAGCCTAGTGGATGATGTGTGTCATTAATTGATGCACAATATTAGATCTTAAGTATTTGATAGTTCGAGAAAAGGGATAATAATTTTCTTTTATTTAGGATTTATTTGAACTAATTTTGTTAAACACTACATTCCACTTGTAAAACACCATATTCCAATAACTAGTTCTGATTCTTTGTATAAGGAATTTAAATTGAAAACACATAAAAAAAACTTCAACATTTTCTTTAATTTTGCAGTAAATCTCCAGTGTTTTAAAAAATGGGGATTGGCAGATATATTGTAAATATAATTAGTGAGAATGCAAATGGTTTACTTATTATAAAATATATTTTAATCTCATAGTTTTTTATCTGCTATGTAAGTTATATAGTTTGTATTATATTATGTTAAGATAGCCAATTTAATTTCTAAGAATTTTATTTTTTAATTTGGGAGTTTTAGTGGTCAGTAATTGTATTTATTTTTATAGGTGTGGAGTTCTGATGCTAATGCTGCACATTCTCCTCCGACTGATTATGTTATGAAAGGGCAAAAGTGGTTTGTGGCCGATACAATGAGTTCTGTTCTTCTAAATAATAACAAAGAGGTAAGTTGAAATCTTTAAATATTTAATTAAGCAATGCTTTTTTCCCCTTCCATTTTCTTCCGATTAGTACTATTAAATAAATTTGGTAATGCTCACATATTCTTATTAGCTTGGTTTTTTATTCTTTCTTTTTTAGGAAATGGCAGTTAGAGAAACAACTAAAAGAATCTCACGTTCTTATGAACAGAGAGTTTTAGAATCTGGTGCATATCCTCCTGAAGAAATATATCATCAACAAGTAAGCCAATTTTATTATCTTATCATGAACAAATCTAGTTTTTCATTTTCATTACTTTAGGGATAAGTATTTTGATGCAAGTCATATTGTGTAACGCAAATTTTTAAATTATCTTATTTGGTATCAATAATTTCTATTGTTCAGTATCAAGCATTTTTTTTTAACTAATAGTAAGTGGCAAAGATCACCAGTTAAAACAATTCTTACTAATTTCGGTTATTCACTTTTTTGTCAGCTTCAATATTGAGAAAAATGTATGTTTACTCAAGGTAAATATGATTAATTAGATCCAATATATTACGTCTAAAGATGTTTAAAAAAAAATTCAGAAGTTTTGAATTTTTTTTCACATTTCTGAATGCTAACTAAACTCAGCATTATTTGAAATAAAATTACAATTTTCATTTCATCTTAATTTCTTTTTGTTTCTGAAATACAAATTTTTGGAGACACTTATATTGTCAAAGTAAAGGAAACCTTTATTAAATAATTTTTTTTAATTAAGTGTATTAGAAGAATTGAGTCTTCTTGGTGCTGTTTATCAAACACAAAACAATAGGCCTCAAAGCACCGATAATGTAGTTTACAAAAATCATTTTGGCATTATGAAAAGCATTATCAATAATTTTGAAGTTCTGCTTGATTAAAATGCATATAAATTGCTTTTAGTAAAGTTATTTGATAACACAACTACATTATTGTTTTCTTTTTCTTTACAGGGCGACTTTGGTCGGGAAAGGTGTGCTATCATGTAACAGTCAAAAATTGTATCATTGCAATATTATGTTCTGATCTGTAATTTTAAAATGTCATATATTCATAATTTTAGCAATCAATTTTGTAAGATTGTTATAATTTTTTTAAAAACATTTCATTAACTCATGCCTTAAACTGTTTCGTTTGATCAATTGTAATCAACTGTGTCATGTCATTAAAAAAGCTTTATGATTATTTTTTAAGTAGAGATTAGTATTCATTATAAAATTCTGTGTGCTTTTTTTCAGTGTATTTTTATTTAGATGATTTAGTTGATGCTTTCTGATTTTATCTCTTTACTCTACTTAAAAGTATGGTAACAGAAAATGCTTTTTTTTAAATGACTTTTTTTTGTAAGGATTGTAAAATAGATAAATTTTTATTAGATCCTTTAAATTTAATTTATATCATTAAACTAATTACTGTTGATTTATCTTATACATATTATTGAATTTTAACTTGTAAAGTCAGGTCTTCATAATCATGTCAAGTTTCCTAATAAAATGAACTGCCATCTCTCATAGTACAAACTAAGCCCGGTTTTAGTTTGTAATTGTGACTTGATCTCATTATCATTCATGGCACATTAAAAGAGATATTGAGTCACTTTTTCACAAGTCACTGTAATTATAAATCATACTTTATTGTTTTTATGATGATTTTTTTTAAGAAAAAATTACTATGTTTTGTTTATTCTCAGTGTTGCTATACTAATAAATTATTTGCTGTTTAATAAGGTAATCTGATTTTTGGTGGCCCAAGGAGCTCTATTTTTTCCTATTTAGAGATAATTGTCTGAAAATGCACTGCCTATTGTGTGATAATTACATACAAATATCATTTTTGCTTTTGTTTTTATGAGTATTAATTTTGGTACCATGTTTTGAATTTAAGTTGTGCCAATGTTTGAATGTCTATGTCAGTAAAAATAAATTTTATTATTTCAGCAGATCATGTTGTTGTTCTTATATTTAAAAGGAACAGTCGACTTTTGCAGTCTAAGATAAAACTATAAAAACTTATTTTATTACATTTGGAAAGCTTTTGTGGCAATGCAGTACTAAGGGCTTAACTAACAAATATTGTAAACACTATTTCTCCACCCTTTACTGTGTCTTAAGTTTGTTTGTTTTTTTGTAAAAAAATATTGAATCAAAAATGACAATGATACTAAAAAGCACCCGAAATAAAAAATTTATGGAAAATATGTTTACAATTTTATAGCTAACAGATAAAACACATTAGTATATAAAAAGCATATCATTACTATAATTTGTATAAGATATAGCTTTGTTGCTTAAAAAAAGAATGGATGATACTTTTTATATAATAATCGTTTTTTTCATTCAAAGTATTTGTGCTTATTTATTGTAAAAGAATTTTCAATCTGAGTCTTGTTAAATATCAAAATCCTAATTATTAGGATGTTAGTATTGAGCTTGTGAGTTTTATGAAAGCTGTGTAATTAATGAAGTTCCAAATTCATTGCATTCAAAAATATTTATTATTTTCCATTAAAATACACAAACTCACACCTAATAGAATTATTTCATAGATAGCAAAATAGAACCTTAAATGTTGCATATAAAGTCTTGATTTAAGGACTAATATATTTTCTTTTCACAAAAATAATAGTTTCCGAACATGTGATAGTGTGGTGACAATTTGGGTAAAGTATAGTGGGACAATTGTTACAATTTAGTACTAATGCATTTTTACAACTAAGGCCTATCCCAAATCATCACCAACACATACAAATAAAGTAAGAAAAAAATATCTGTCCAGAAATAATGATCACAAGGGATAGAATTAACTTAAGCAATTTTAATGATGATCAACTCAATTATCAAGATTTGCTCATGAAAATAAATTTGACCATGTGGCATAATAAAATAAGATCATTACAAATTATACTATATTACTATATACAGTAGGGAACCGATTATCCGGAACGATCGGGACAATCGCTATTCCGGATAACTATGATTATTTCCAAAATGATGCTAGGGTAAACATCTTTCAAAAAAGAAAGAAAAATCCTAAAATCTTATGAGGAAAAAAAATTTTTTTTGAAAAAAATAACTGGAAAATTTATCGAATTTCGTTCCGGTTTTTTGGTTTTCTGATTTCCGGATAACGGGTTTTGTACTGTACTATATTAAATTATACTATACAAATTATATTATATCAACATGTGACAAACAGATTTGAAGAATCTTTAAGAAAAGGGAATTACTGCTGCAGTTAATAAAATCTAAAGTCACTTATCTTGCAAATGTGCTTTAAAATGTTGAGGAGCTGATGAACTATTTGTAAGTGGCAGGATATTATTCGCTGGATATATCTTAATTGTTCAGTCCTGTTGCAGCCATTCTTTCAGGGTAGATGTATCTTTATTCCTCAGAATTTTCTACCAAAAATTTTTTTTTCTCTTCTAGCAGCTAGTCCAGTCCTCTTCCTCACCTCTCTCCTGCCCCTCTTCACAGGTTTTCAACCCTTACACAAAAATTGACAGACCAAAACTGCTTAATTTATTTACAGAGAGGCTATCTAAAACAGTCAGACAGTTTGGGCAAAAATAGGCTCACTGATAGTCATAAAAAGGAAAGAGAGTTGTAGCAACACTACAATAATCTGATTTTTATCTAGTATTAGTTATGTGATTGCTGGAGGAAGAAATTAACTGAATTTTTTTTCTATATGTGCAGTTTCATTTTTGTACATAAGCAGCGGAATAAAAAGCTCATTTTTATGCAAAAAAAAAAGAAAGTAATATTTATAGGATTTAAAAAAAATTATTGTCGTTATATTTAATATTGGACGTTGAAAAATACATCTATCCTTTTTATAATTTAGCAAGGCATCACATAAAATGAAATAAAAATTTGAACATCTATTTTGATAAAACCACATGTATTTAATTCTTGACGAAATTGCACAAATCGGCTGTGTCAAAAATCGGTGAATTAAATCAAAGATGAAAGAGTTCTTCAAAAAACTTCTTCCCATCAGTAGCCTCCTGAGAAAGAATGGTCTTCTGGAGAAACTGGGTGTAGCTGCTGCAGGTGCGCTGTTGTCTTGACAACCACGACTTTCGTTGTAGAGTGGAAAGGATGAGGTTCTTGGTTGTTGAGTGTTAAGCAGTTTTGTTTCTGACCTGTCTTTGTTTGTCACTGATTCTTTATCCTCGGGACGACGCAGATTGAATTTGTGTAGTCTTAGATTATACTTCTCTCGATTCCAATAGTTCTTATTTTTGGACGTTTGTCCGTGCACATTTTTGTTTATTTGTGTCATTTTCGTGTAGTGCATTGTATGATTAATGTATTTTAACGATGGAAGTCAAAAGAAATTTGATGCTGATAGGTTAAATAAAACAAAAATTAAATATATAAGTTAAATAAAACTAAACTGTTAGTAACAATCTATCAGAAGATATTGAAACTGTTAGTAACTGTTAAGAAAATAAATAAGAAAGTTAGTAACTGTTTTAAAAAATGATTGACTGGCAATTAATTCAAAATAATGATTATTAAGACTTATAAATTGTTTAATTAGTAATTTTCTTTAATATTATAGTGATCAAAAAAGTTACAAAATTATGCTTAAGAAAAATTTTAATTTACTGTCTAAATGCTTCTGTCACTTATGATAGAAAATAAAGAATTAGAAGTTATAATCTTATTGATATCACAGTATACCCTCCCAGTGTCTGCAGTGTAAAAGTTCATCTTTTTTTTTTTGGACTATTTTTATGCCTGGTTAAATGTACATTTCAAGATTCATGTTATGTGATAAATATATTGAGATTTTAAAAAAAAATATGTGAAAATCAGTAATGATAACTACGGAAGAATTGAGTGAAAAATGATAGTATTGCATCAAATGATAAATACTTGGCAATGCAATTCAAATTTCCTGTATCTTAATAGTATCATGATTTTTAAAAAAATCTTGAGAATTAACAGGAATAACTGCCAAATAAAAATAGATGGATTTAGTGCAAATAGAGTGTGCCAAAAAGTAATTACCCAAATGTGTGGTTCGAATTTCTCGCTTCTTAAGTAAGAAAATATTGAGTTTTAAAAAATGTGTATATCAGTGATAACTGAAAAAGTTGATTAAAAGAACAGTGGTATCATTGCATAAAAAAGTAATTATAGATGCACGAATTGAATTATGCATGTTATGATGATGATATAGAAACAAAAGAATTTAACAATAACATCACATGAATTCATGATGGTATTGACGCAAATAGAGCGCATCGGAAAGTGATTGCTGAAATTCGCGATTCAAATTTTGCGTGTCGTAATAATATCAGAATTTTGAAAACCAACTGCAAAGAAAAATAGATTTAAACATGGATTGACGATAGTATTGAGCGTGCTGAAAGATTATTACTGAAATGCAGAATTCCCGTGTCATAATGCATCGAAAGTTAATTCAATCTAATTGTAGTCAAACAAATAATGAAAAAAATAGAACTTTTCCCTTAAATATTTGGCATTTCTGCATTACTTTATAGATAATTAATTTTATACTTTTGTATTTGCTTCAGTAGTTCATTAATTCCAACCAAAGTTATGGATATTTTTTTCCAGTCTTGTATTCTCGAAGTTTATCTGGAGTTGCGTTTTTCACTGCGTAAAAAAGTCATCAAGCGTGAATGAGAACTTAAGGGGAAATAAATAGAGTGCTGGTAAAGGTGGAATAAATGTCTCATTAACGAGATTTTGTTAAAGTGACGAAATTTACATTTTAGATTAGCGAAACTGCGACAAAATTTTGTCAAAATATAAATTATTCAGGGTGCATAGTGTTTTTAAAAAGTGCTTAAATGTGCTTTTTTCATTGGATGTTTTTAAAAAGTGCTTAATTTTCCCCTTACCATGTTGACTTTCGCTACGAATTATGCAGAAAGACACTGTTCACATTGTTCTATTCAACATTTTCACAGTTAATTCAACCCCAATCTATTTCGGCATATCGTCAGTCAGTAGCTATGAAAACGCCATTCGATTTACAAGATTCAAATATTTTGACAATGCCAAAAATTTTTTTTTTGGACATGACGGTTAAAACCAGATAAAACTGTAGTTAGCTGTCAAAGTGTAGTAAATTGTCAAAAACTTTCCAATCCTACCTAATTGTGATTTTTTTTACAGTGCTTAAAAATATTATTTGAGTGCTTATTTTTTGTTGAATAATTTGGCTACGCACCCTGTTATTGAATCGCAGAAATCCGTGAATGAAGCAGTCATTTTCGCAAAATATGTTTCTAAGAACTGCTTACAATATATAATTAAATAAAATGATAGTTCTCTCCTTTCAGACATACAATAAAGATTGAGTTACTTAAGAGTTGTTTTTATCACCATAAGAGTTGAATAATCATGTGTGAAAGTTTGTCATGATTTATTCATATCCTAAAAAAAATAAGTTAATCAGTTTTATTTTAAATACAGTTGAAGATCTATTTAATGCAATTCTCCACAAAACACATTAACTTAACAATCTCTAAAGCAAACCGAAATTGATAAACATATCTGTTTTTAGTTCTAATGTTCTTGATAATTCAATTTTTTTCAGTAAATAAAAACCTGAGTGCATAATTTTTTGTATTTAAAATTTAGGAATTAAAACTATTTTAACAATAAATAACTGAATTTTATTATAAATATTTTTAAAACTTAATTATTTTTTTTTTACAAATAATCATTTTTGTTTTTTATAAATTTGCACAAGAGCATAATCTCCACTAAATTTCCAATTCTCAGATATTTGTGAAAGTTCTTCATCAGTACCAGATTTCAGTCCCACCACCACATCTGCTTTAATTGCGCGTAGAGCCAGAACAGAGGTTGGTAAAAAGCCATTTAAGGCTTGCTTAAACGTAACAGTCTCATCCCATTGCCGGTCACCTGCTAGCTTCCTGTAGTTCAAATCACCTTTAAAGATAACAAGATCGCTTTCTGACAATTTTTGATACAGTTGAGGATCCACAGATTCCATTTCACTATAATCGTAAGGCAATGTCCAAAACTTGTGCTCTATAATATTTATAACTCCAGATTTGGTTCGTGATGAAGTTTCCTGACTAAATCTAACTAAATTTTCATTATGGCTTTGAGATAAATATTCTAACAACCAGTGAATATCCTTGACCAAAGTATCGGACACAAACCAAGGTATTGTTTTGGGGTATACATTGATTTGGTCCACTAACCCAGAATCCAACAGAAAATGAATGAAACAGAGGTCGCCAAATAATTCAAATCCAGCATTGTCCAGAACAAAATCGACAATTACGTTCTCTTTGTGCTTTTTGGCATCATTTAGAATTTGATAAGCATTTTCTGTATCATTGACTAGAATTTTTGCTCTTAATTCCTTGAGCTCAGTAAGGGGATTAGACTGTTCAGTATTTATCTTGCCAGCTGTTAGTGATAAGTCCCATTTATTTCCCCAAAGAGAAACCTAGAAAAAGAACAAATTTTATTTAGATAGTAATTGATTATTACTTATGATAAGATAAACAAAAAAATATTCAAAACAGAATTTTCCAAGTTCATTTGCAACTAAAAAGTAATTTTTTTTTACGATTATAATAATCATTGTTGCATTTTAATGTTTAATCAAATTATAATGTTAAATACAACACCAAAATGGATGAACTTTGCGTAATATTTTTTAATTCATTCAAACACTTACAATTCTTCAGATTGAGTTATTTCACTCTTTAAAAACAACAGCACATTTGTGTTTTGGGGAATATACTTCTAATTTAGAAGCTAGAGGCATATCATCAATGAATTAAAGAAGATATAAAAATAATCTATATTATATAAAACGCTAATATGTATGTATCAATAAAACAGATGATATTTCTTTTCTCGCGTTGGCAACAGTTTTCATTTTTAATTGATAGCATTCGGCGCAAGAGCACGTAGTGAGCATCATATGGCTAATCTATATTACATAAAACGCTAATACGTTTTAATTGATAGGCTTCGGCGCGCAAGAGCACGTAGTGAGTATCATATGTCTAATCGGGTGAATTCTCACAGAATTATCAAAAACATTCTCACAAAATTATCTTCATCGAAGCCCGATGCTTTACATCCGCGTTCAGTACTATTTCATACTGTTTTACAACACATGGTTTTAGCCCTTTGGTGGGAAAGACTTTAAAACAAAACTTACAACAGTTACTTTTCTCAACAACTGAAATTTAGAATAGAGTGATTAAGAAAAATATGCGAACTATTTTCAAATTAATATTGAAATGCACAGGTTTAGAATTTTCTACAGTGAAAAGTTTTCGGAACTTCAGTTTTCAAAAAAGTATACAAAAGCTAGACGTTAAGAACAGATCCAATGAGCGAGCATCGGATTGCTTCGCAATCCGAAATGAACTGCGAAAGCTGTTCCGGGGGTTGGCGAGCGCCAGCGAGCAGGGGGCAAAGCCTCCTAGTGTGTTAATAAAAAGTTTAACATTTTGAAACATTTGCTATAATATTCTAGTGTAATACAAATATACTGAGGTAAAATATATTTATGTATAGTTAAATTCCGTTTAAAAAAACACTTTGCAAAATTTCTTATGTTGCTAAAATTTCTTTGATTTCTGAACTAATTAATTTATAAGCAACAATTAAAAATAATTTATTACTCTGATTTAAGCATAATTGATGACTTTAATGTTAGCTTTGAAAAAATAAAATAATAATAATTTTTTCAATATTTTTAAGTAAATTATTAACTTGAATTTTCTGCATTTGACTAATGGTATGAACTTTAAGCCTTGGCATGAAAGTAAAATCGAAAACAGTATCTAACAGATTTTATCTCTAATACAACCTTTGTTATTTTCATTGAATAATCCATTCATAAATGCCAGAAGTAAAAATTTATATGTTCAGTAGTTTGAATTTCTATTTTGCATAAAATATAATTATGAATAGTTTTAAAGTCAAATTTAATGTTCTTACTTCTAAATAAGTTCTGAATAAATCGAATTTTTCAGTTTCATTATTGCAGTTTTTCAACTCATTTCTAGTTTTATCTAATGCAGAACACAGAAATATGACAGCATCCATGGTGGAGAAAAAGGAGTCTTTCTTTTGCTCTTGGAATGGATCATAATCTTTCAATAAGGAGCTGAAATAAAATTAAAATATTTTTATATTATAGATATAAATACAAATATTACTTTTATTAAATTAAATCTCTATATTATGGTTAACCACATACAGTAAACTTACAATTATCTGCAGTCTTATTTTACCTCAAATCTTCCTTGAACAAATTACTATAGCAAATGTTACTGCAGTTGACACTCAATATAACAATCCATTATTCAAAGGAACATTATAACAAGAGTTTGCTATATTGAGTACTTATAACTAAAAAATATGTTACTATTTTTAACAAACCAATGATATGATATACCTAACTTCTTTTTGTTATTATATACATAAAAGTACCATTTATAATAATACATTATAAATATGAACTACGTTAAAAATAATGCGCAGGTACTGATCAGCCATTTAAATAGATAAAATATGTTTAGATAGCTGCAAGGGCACTTGTTTTTTAACTGGAAAATAAAACACCAAGCTGGGAGCTTACAAAGATAGAATAAATTTATAAAACGAGTGAATAAAGTTAAAAAAATAAATAAAATAAAAAAAGCGCAACTGATAAATTTATTATACTGTTCGAAAAGGAAGATAAAGATTGTGAATACATTTTTTTAATTGATGAAAGCATAAATCTGATTTTTGCATGAGGGTGCAATACACAAATTATCAGCATGAAATAAATTATAAATATATCAGTAACTTTTTGAGATCACGACCACATAGGAATGTAGGGGGTCATATCTCTATTCTTCCATTCAAAAGGAATTCAAGAAATTTTACATTTAATAAGCACAATCAAAAGAAATAGTGGTTTAAATAATTAGTTTGGAACTTTTGCTCGATAAAATTACTGAGGCTTTGAAAGCATAAAATTGTTTTCAACTTACAGGGGTGATTGTGAGCCCAAGTCAAAAATTCTGAATATTTCTCAAGTAAATTCATTAATGACGCATTTCAAAAGATTTTAAGTTTTAATATTTTTAAATGAAATATACAAGAGTTTTTAGACATAAATTTGATGAATGATTTTTTGAAATTTTTAGACCTTGGATTTCCAGAAACTTCTGGATTGTGGTTAGCGAAAAATCCGGATCTTTTCCGGGGCACAATCATCTATATACTTATTTTGAAGAGAGTATCAGGGAAATAAAAAAATAAAATAAACAAAGTTTTGGTTACAATATTTAAAATGACTGGTTGAATGGTCGTCTATGAAATAGCAAACTTGAGTTACATAAAAAAATAATCACTTTTATAGGGAGTCATGTCATAATAAATCACACAGAATGTAGCATTTTCTTTATAAGAAATTTTACCTCTATGCGATTTTATACCACAATAGTTTGAGATTCAGTCCTAGGATAAGTTCATGTGAAATTATGTTCTGCGAAAATTTGTTTTTGTGGTATTTAGCCTCAGTATAGATTGTCTGAGAAAGATTATTTCCAATAATTAAATTATGATATAGATTATTGAACAATTTAAAGAAAAAAATAATACCTAAGTAGAAATGATTGCTTTATTCGGCGATAGAAATAACATTCAGCATACAACCAAGATGAGTCAAACCAAGCTGGAGTAAAATCATAAAGTTGTTCTTCTTTCTTCAAAAATTCATTCCATAATTGAGTATCTTCAAACTCATCACATAAAGGTATAATTGGCTTGTTTGTAACCATTTCATTTTGAAGACATGATAATCGGCCAATTACATTTTTCATATCTTCAGAGCCACCCTGTAAAGGTTTAAGATAGTAAATTTCAAGCAATGTATGTACTAATATTTATTGTACAATCAGGGCTTAATCCAAGTCGATTTTGGTACCGTTTTTCGGTACCTTCACAAAATAAAAATAATTCAAAAAAAAAAAAAAAAACTCATCTTCAGGAAAATAAAGATAAAAAATTCGAAGGAATTAAAGTGCTGAATAGTTTTCCGAGCGGTTATTATTACTGGTTATTATAATTTAATCTTAGTATTCTGTATTTCTATTATTTTTTTAACCATTAATTCAAAAGTAAAAGTTAGCACAATATCAAAATAATAATTTGTTAATCATAATAAGTTCAATAAATTTTATTAGTAAGTAAGTTAAAAAAAAATTTTAAACTTTATATAGATCTAATTTTTAACCTTAATATTAATCTATATGGTAAATTCCATAATTTCTATGCTGGCTGGCTGTATAATTTATATTGAATTGATAAATGGAATTAATCTGCAAGCTGTCTTATAAGCAATTCCTTGCGCAATATGTGAATGTTTTTTATNTTTTTTTTTTTTTTTTTTTTTTTTTTTTTTTTTAGCAGTACTAAATTTTCACAAAAATAATTTTTTTTTCACAAAAATAATTTTTTTCTTCACAATAATACTTTTTTCTCACAAAAATAGGTACTAGGATTGAAAACCTGGATTAAGCCCTGACAATAGTCTATTATAATATTGTATTATTTTATTTTATGTCTTCCGAAAAAATTTTTTGCTAATTTGTTGCATAGATATAAGAATACAAATAAATCAGAAAACAAATAGTTCTCCTTAATAAGAAAAAAATTATTTGTTACTACTATTTTTAAAAATTGGATATAAATAAAATCATAATAAAAGAAAATCACGAATATAACGAACACTTAGAAAAAAATTCCCTTAGTTTTTCCTGATTTTTCCAAACTGATTTTATCAAACTTCCCAGACTTATGTTATCAAAAAACACTTATACTTACCATAAGAAGTGAAAAAATAAAAAAAAAAAAATATTCATAGATCAATTTTCTTGAGAAAAAAATTAGACTTTGAGGAATTTCAAACTCAAATTAATTCATTTTCTTTTATTTTTTGGAGTATTTTATTTAAATTTACTGAAATTCACCTGATTTTTTCCGATAGATAAAATTTCCTGACTTTTCTCTGTTCTGTGGCCATTTTGTAAATGCATTCTTTAGCCTGATATTTATATTACCAAATTAGTACTTATATACTTGTACATTATTGATCTTGTTAGTTTGGAATTGTTTTCATTACTATGCATATTGTTACATCTTTATCCTTGTTCTGCAACAAGAGCTTACAATGAAGAGCTAGTGTAACCGAGTCAAAATATTATTAAAATCACAAAAATGTCAATATTGTAATAAATCTTTCTCTGTGATAACTCATGCTTTTGGTTTTAAAATCAGTTTATATATTTTCAGTAATTTTAAAAAAGGAAGAAAAAAAAACATTAAAAAAAAGTTACATATCCTGTCGCATCTTTTTATTATAAGCAATTGAATTTATATATTTTTTTAATATAATTATTTTAACAAAGTAACAAGAGATAAGTAAAAATGATAATGTTTCAAAAACATCCAATTACAAATAAGGAAATAGATATTTCAACTTGTAATTATAGTAAATTTATACAATGCACTAGAAACTTATTTTAAAGTACAGTACACTCTCGATTATCCGTGCTCGGATTATCCGTGCTCATTCCGGAGTCACACAAAAAATATAAAGAGAAACATTTTCAAGATTAAAAATATTTAATTCTATAACACTACCAAATTTTTGGAAACAAAATTCGTTATTGGATTGCAGTATATGGAATATCAGCAGCATGGTCAAAGGTAAAATCGTCTACGTTATCACGATCTTGGAGAAAGATCATACCGCTTGATGAACAATCCTCTTCAGATGTTCAAGAAAAATATGATAACAGTATTCTCGAACAAGCAAAAGAAATCTAAGGTTTCGAAATTCTTGATGAAGAAAATTTAGAAGATTGGTTTCAAAGTGATGCATGTGAGCCTGGCTTCCAGTATTTGACTGATGAAGACATCGTTATGTTGTTAAATCAAATAGTGATGATAGTAACTGATGCAGAAGATGTAGTAAATGAATGAAATACAATTTCTCATTCTGCTGCTCTGTGGAAACTTTATTAGATTATATGGGAGGATTTGATTACAGTGACATTACTGCTGTTCGTAAAATATGTGTATCGATATATGACGAAGACGCATTACAAATTTTTTAATAAGGAAAATTCCTAGTTTGATGTTATGCATGCAAATGTCAGTAATTTTTTGTACTGATATTGAATTTTTCTTTAATAAAAGGAGTTTTCGGATTATCCGTGTTTTTAGATTGTCTGTGCGACCTGTCATGGTGATTAACCTGGATCATCGGGAGTGCACTGTAATTGCAATACACGTAATTTAACTTACAGATCAATATATAAATACTAACTTCACCATAGGATTCAGTAATTTTTTCTTTGTTTCTGCACAAGGAATCGATAACTTGAACAAGAATTATAGGTAACCTGTCTTTAATGGTTTTATAGGCATAGCTCCTGAAAAAACAAGAAAGAAATAATTAAGCTTTGAACAATGTTTTAATACTATGATATTTATCTTAAATAAACATGTTAATATTATGAAGAAAAATAAGCAAAGTATTATTGGCTTATGACATTCATAAATGTTTAAAAACTGATATAAGAAGTGAGAGTGATAATGAAAGGGACACTTGGAGATGCCCATAAAAAAATGGATTTGTGAAATTTCCTACTGAAAAACAAAAGGCTTAGATCTGTTTAAGAGAGTGATTTACAATGATAATAATATAAAACAAGTTAAATTAAGGCCACATATGGAAGAAATAATACTAACTCCTTAAATGTGAAATTAGGAGAGTATTCCACCTATAGGGGTCATTGGCGACATCTTTTTGTTTTTTTAATTATGTTTCGTGTTAAATATATTTTAATTACAATATATATTTTTCTTTAATTTACTGATAAGGAAATATCTATGCCATTAAAAATATCAACATATGTTTTTAACAGAATATTTGATCTTAACATTCAATATCATAGATTATATTTACAATAATCACTATTTTAATAAGATAATATTTAAAAATCTATAGAACATGTTATAGCTCTTATTTTTAAAAGTTCTTTAAACATTTAATCATCCTTTTCCATTTCAAACATAAAAGTGAGTAATATAAGAATTTAAGTTGACACAGATTAATGCCATGAGAATAAAATCAGTTACTATCATAAAAGAAAAGTAGAAAATTTACTGATAGTTAGCCACTACAATTGAAGCGAAAGTTAAATTAAGCATAAGTAGTAATTTAGAATATTTTCATATCCTGATCTATCACGCCAACTACAATTGCCAAGATGTCAAATAGATCTTAAACTTGAATTTTTTTTTTTTTAAAGTAGATTTTTAAGCGGAGATGGTTACGAGTGTTACCTTTCAAGTTGGTCCCTTTCTATAATTTTTTTTTCTTCAAGTTTTTTGCGGTCCGCTGCTCAGAAATTGCCGCCAAGACTTGGAGATTATTCTGTCACAGATCACGATACGAAAATCTCCCCAGTTAGTTATTCTGGCAGGGATATTTGCATGGCAATCGTAAAACTTTCAGGGGGATTTTACTTAAATTATGTGGAAAACAGATTACAAGTATGATGAAGTTATTAGAATGAAATATTTTTAGGTAGTAAAATATAAGAAAATGGGCCTTAAAGCAAATAAACTAAAAAGTTAGAAATACATACCCGGTATATTTTCCTGAATAATGATAGGGAAGACTATTATTTTTTTTCAATCCGGACATATTTTAACAGTATATTGTGTTTCGTATTATTTAGAAGGGTGTCCAGAATGTTTTGATTGAATCACACTCAGAAGGTTTAAACTCTCTGATCAGAGCAAACTCTAAATAACAATAAAAGGTCTATATTCAGCATGTATTTTAAGATCTTAACAGAACTAAAACTGAAAACACTTTTTGTTTCGTTTACGTACACATTGTCTTCCATTTCTGCAGTTGAATATAAATCAACACTTTAATCTAACTTACATGCAAAACTATTTTAGAACAAACAGTCTACTTTGATCAAGCTCATATATTATAACCAGATAAAACAATAAATAAACATTAAATTTTTTTAAAAATTTCTTATAGAATTAGAATAGAAACAATCTAAGCAGCGTAATGGTTTGGGTGGATTTTATCTTAAAAATGTGTGTCGATATGTGACATGCTCCTATAAACTATGGTGGTTTCCCTTCGTCTTTTTTTAACAACATCCTTCGACAAGTTGGCAATGTAATGTCAATATTCTGTTGCTAGATGATGTTGTTTATCAGGAATGAGATATGATATTTATGGATGATTTTCGATTATTTTCTGTGTATTGTTCATTCATGAAATTCAAAATTTATCCTGACAAAATTCGATTTAAGATACTTTTATCGTTATTGACTTGATAATTTGTTTTTGGAGCTCTTAGCGTCAAAACCAATGGTGTAAAAAAGATCTCGTGCGAAATGTTTATGTTATGAAAAAGAAGAGAAATAGAACTTATATTACTTTTATTTAGGTGCTTTTTTTAAATTTATTAAAAAAACTTGTTCAGAACTTACATTTTAATGCATAAAATTGTTTATTTTAACCTTCCCCCAAAAAATGCGAACTTGCGCTCTACCAAATATCGAGCTAGCAAGAAGCATTTATTTTTACCGACTTTTTCGTAATACTAAGAACAGATTTTTAATGTGTCTTATTCTTAATATAGAAAAATATCCTCTTCTAATTTATGTTATGTGTGATTGTAATTATCTCTTTTTAATAAAATTTCAAATTGATTTTGTACATTTTCTTTCTACAAAAAGAAATTAACCTTCTTATCTAATCCGCGTTTTTTATTTATTTATTTCTCCTTAAAATTTAAGTGAAATTTTTTTTATAGTTCTAAATGTTATGGTTAAACTTTTCAACTCTTTTTTTTTTCTTCCTCACAATGCTAAAATGTTTTTGATTTTACTCTAATGGATCCTATAAGTTTTTTAAGTATTAACAAGAACATGATAGGTCAAAAAGAAACTTTCTGTGCAAAAATTTTTTGAATTATTTGTATAATTTAAATTTTGTTTAAAAGGAAATGATCTTTTGTAAAATTCATAATATATTTCCTATTTTAATATAAATTTTCAATAGTTATGTATATTTCTTTCAGGTTTTGACTCATTACATCATTGTGAAGTGTTTTCCTTATTTTATTGATTTTAAAGATTTTTTTATCTTGTGCTGCTGTGACATCAAAATAGGTTAGCAATTTTTTCCATTAAATATATTGAATTATTGTGAACGTAACTTTTAAAATAGCTATTATTCAATAATATTTGTTATGAATACATTTCTATAACTTCATTCTTTTTAAATTCACTACATTTAATTTTCACTCTGTAGAAAGGATGATTTCGTGACATTTCAAGTAAATAAATTAATATGCAATTTAAAATATTTTTCTTGTAATTTCTATATTTAGTACTATATATGATTAATTTTTATTTCATTTATAAAATTCTTAATAAAATAATCTTAGTAAATACTTAATAAAATTATGAAGCAATTATTTTGCTTTTTCAAGAAAAAAATAATTCATTCTAAAGAAAATAAGATCATGCCATTTGGGATATTTTATATTTATATATATCTTTGTATATTAGTTGAAAAATATTTTAAGGTGAAATAAAATAAGTTATTACCTCATAAGAGAATTAAAAGCTGTGTTGATTGCTCAGTAGAAGAAAACCAAAATGATTAACAAGAAATGACAAAAGCACTATTGGAAATAGCAACCTAACTATCAAAAAGGAAAAATATTAAAGAAATATTAAAGTGGAAGCACTGAGATACCATGCAGTCATTGCAGGAGCAGTTTCAGCAATTTTTTGATATATTGCTGCATACTACTTCAAGAACAGGGTGCGTAGCGTTTTTTTCAAAAAGTGCTTAAAGATGCTTATTTTCGATTTTTAAAAACCTCTAAAGGTGCTTTTTTTAGTGTGTGTTTTTAAAAAGTGCTCAATTTTTCCTTTTTCAAAATGAGATTTTTCCTTTACTATGTTGATTTTCGCTTCAAATTCTGCAAAAAGACATGGTTTACATTGTTCTATTCAATGTTTTCACAATTAATTCAACCCCAATCTATTTTTGCTTATTGTCAGTCCGTAGCGTATGAAAACTCCATTCGTTTTACATGATTCAAAATTTTATGATTTTTGACAATTGTCAAAAACAATGCCAAAAGTTTTTTTTTTTTGTTTGACATGACGGTTAAATCAAGATAAAACCGTTAATTGTCAAAAACCTACCAACCCTGCCTAATTATGATAATTTTTTAAAGTGCTTAAAAATGTTTTTTTAGTGCTTAAAAGGTGCTTATTGTTTAATAATTTGGCTACGCACCCTGAAGAAAAGAACAAAATTAACCAACAGCAAGTTAACCAACAAATTAACCAACAGAAGAATATATATCGTCTTCATCTGACTTGCTGTTGGCCACTTAATAAAATTTTTAATAATTTGAAATCAGCAATATTTTATTAATAGTGTTAATAACTGTTATGTTATTTTTCAGGTAAAAATGTCTTCAAATGCTGATTGCAAAGCTATTGAGAAAGGCTTAAAGGATATCATTTTTGGCATGTCAAGTAGCGGACAACTTTCTACTCCAGATTCAAACTTGAACTCTAAATTGACTTCAGCTTCCTTTACTTATAATGAACAGTTTTCAAATCAAGAGAAATCTGCTATATTTAACAAAAACAAGCTAAAAGGGCCTTTTCCATTACCAAGTAATACAGATTTATCAGTTAATGAAACAAGTTCTAGTAAACTTATTGATTTAAATGCGTTGACGGAATTTTCAGCAAAACACATAGATGATTCAAGTTTCAGAACTGCTACAAATGATATAAAATTACCCCATCCCGACCTTGAAGATGATAATCATTCAACTTCTACAAATACTGGTGTTTCTGTACTATTTGAACAAATTCAAAACTCACCGAATTTCGGTAATTTGCCCGAAAACCCTTTGCTGCATTCCAATCTTAAAAGTCCCAAAAGGCAAAGCAGAAACAGAGAGTCTCAACACAAGTCCTCTTCTCCTGTTCGAAAACGAAGCACATCGAAACGAAGAAGGAAAAAGAAAAAAAGCGCCAAACAGAAAGATTTGCCTGAAACACTGACACCTCAAGAAGGACCTAAAACAAGTAATTATTTTTTGCTGATTATCGGTTCCGTCTTAGTCTAACAATAGTATACATTTCCACTTTTTCAATTTAATAAAATAACTAATTAAAATAAAAAAATTTTTGGAAATGTACTTTATTATTTTTCAATTCTTTCTAATTTATTGAATTTAGATAAATTGAAAAGTTTTAATGGTACATATTTCCATCAACTAGGAAGTTGGCATACTCTCTACAAAATTGACACCGAATTGTTTTTTAACCAATGCATATATAATTTAAAAAAAAATTTAAAATAAAGTTAATTTTTTTTAAAATTAAGGCTTTAGAACTTCAATTAATACAATTTATTTTCAGGCATAGAAGTATTTTAAATTCTTTTTGATGTTTAGATTTCCTTTGTAGGTGAAATATTTTATTGTTTAGGGCCATTTTTTGGTTTTGCAAAAAATGGTTTAAAAAAAATTTTCTCTAGTTTTTAGCAAATTTTAAAACTTCCCTATTAATTAAGGAACTTCTTTAAATTTTCTATACCATCTTCTACATTACCCAAAAATGTATGTATCTCTTGATTTTTTACAGAAATTTGTAAATTTCCTCAAAAAATGGGGTTTTACATTGAAAATTAAATTGTGCAAAAATTGTTTATTTTAGTAAGCTACCTAAACATGTTTTATATAATAATTTGTAATTTATATAATATTAATTATATAAAAACACAATGATTCAATAAAAGTCCTATCTTTATATGTTTTTATTGTAAACTTTAACCTTTAAGAATTAATGACCAACTAAAAATACTTTAAGTATAGGAGTAATTGCTATTGAAATATTTCAGATTAAGGAATCATTCCTAAAAAATGGCTTTTTTATTTTAAAAAGTGTTTTGTAATTATTTTTTGTTACATAAATTTTGGTGTCAAAATGATCTGAATTTTCAATTTGTAATGTTTAGAGCTTGTATCAACACTTCTTAACATTTAAAGATTTCAAAAATAATTCTGTTTTCTTTTTTGTTAGTGATAAAATGTATTACTTTTTATTTCTATGATTTTAAGTTTTTATAAAAAAAGAAAAATGCATTTTTTTTCTTTACAGTTTATTTAAAATTAATAACATATGTTGTATGCTTTTCTATATTCAAATATAAATATTATTATTAAATTTAATTTCCTGTGAATTGTTGCAATGATTTCGCTAGATTTTGAAAACTACAGGTCCTTGGGGTCCTCTACTTCCAAATTTTTGTATGCCTATTTAAAGTATGAATATTCGCCCTTTCTATTATTTTGTACATTTTATCAATTGAGAGACAAAGCAAAGAATTTCAAAGTTAAAAAAAAAAGGAACAATCGAGGCTTTTAATTAGGCTGATCTAAGACTTGCATCAAGGAAAATCAACTAAACAGTAAGATACTCAAAATTTTTTTATTTTCTCTTAGAGCTACTCATAAAAAAGAAATTTTTATTTACGTATTTAAGGCTTGGTTACAATCTTGCCTCAAGATATCTTTTTCCTCAGTGGAGAATTACTTATTTTTCACACATTTTGAGTACAGATTTGTTACTTAAATTTTTCTACTTTCATATAATTATTGCATAAGTTACCTTATTGAGCAATAGCAAAAGAATAAAATAATGAATTGGTATCTTTGTGTTGCATTACAATATAGTTGAATGCAACATATTTGTGTTCAGGGTTCGGCTTTTAATACGACAGGTAATAACTGTTAAATAACTAATTTTTCTTTATGTTATGGTGCGTCTAACAATGAATTTTTCAACAAAATTTTCTTCACAATCAACAATTTTGCTTTAAAAATATTTGTTTATATCATTATTTTAATATACTAATATGAGATTGCTATGTTTTAATGTACTAACACTATGTTTTGATATGCTAATGAGATTGCTTTTATTTATATACTGATTGATATGCGAAAATATTAATTAAAAGTTTACAAAAGAATTCTAGAATTAGATAGATTATATCCCTATTTTCAGCTTATAAACAAATCAATCAGAAGACGGAAATCAGAATTTTTCAAGTGTAATGCATAAACATTTTATTATTTAAAATTAACAAGGAAACATGTAAATTGAAATAAAACCTATAAATTAAGAATTTTTACAAATATCATTTTTATATCCTAGAACATGAAAATCTAATATCTTATAGGAAAAATACATCATATTTTTTGTCAAATGTCTTTTTTGATTTTTTTTTTAATTTATTGCTTTAAGATTTAAAATACACTTTTTATTTAAATTTTAATTAATTGAATTAAAATGGAAATCACTGTCACCAAAATCTGGGTTTTTGACTAAGAGGTTTTTGACATGACTATAAGAACTGTGGTGAAAACTGTCAAAAAACTTCATACCTCAAAAACTTGCCAACACTGTGTTCAAATAAAATAAAATATTTTGGTTGCTATGAGAAATACCATTGACAATATATGTACACTGATAATTGTGCTTCTCCGAATACTGAAACAATTGTTTATGCTTTGTATTTCACTTTATTCTAATTACCATAATGTGCTCAAAATTTTATTTCCCTCTTAATTCTGTATCCCTAATCTTATTTTATTGCTATTTAGTTACCAAAGTTATGGAGAGAGAAAGTAAAGAAGAAATGATTTATATTCAGACTAAAAAAAAAGTTTTTTCTTCAATTGGGAGAGAATATTCCTTAACTTTCGAGAAGGTAGGTATTTCAACTCAAATATAATAAACATATTTAACTTGTTGAGGAAATAATTTATATTCTTGAGCAAAAATTAATGTTTTATGTGAAAACATATTTGTCACTGCTACAAATGTGGTTCATCATTATATGATCATTCATTATATAATTATATACCCGAGTCACTTTTAGCTTGGTTTTATATGAAGAATTAAATCAGTGACTTTACAAAGATGCCACATTATCTGTTATTCCCGTACTTAACACATCATACAATTTCATTTCAGTCATTATCTTCTATTTTTGGAGACTGATTGCAAATCTTGAATATGTTATAATGATTTATTGATTATTTTTACTTAACTTTAAAATTTGGTTAAATTGTTCTATGAAGTAGCACAAGTCACTGCTCAGAGTGTTAAGATTTATATTATTTGGTTTCTTAAAATATGCAGTATAATGATGACAATACATGTTATTTAATTAATGAATTATTTTTTTTTATATGAAACTTTACCCTTCGTAAGTTTTCAGTTATTGGATTTAGTGACAGCACTGATTAAATCATAAAATGAAGATTTAAATGTAATATTATAAATGATGAATCATTATATTTTGTATTCATTGAGCAATATATTCAGCATTGAATGTTTATCTTATTTTTGTTTCTAATATTGCAAATGTGATTAGGATATTTACAATGTATTTCCTCTTAAATTTGTAATCACGTTTTTTTTCCTTTTTGATAAAGCTAATTTTGAAAAAAATGATACTTTTCAATAATTTTTTTAAAAAATATATTGCTTATTTTTAAACATAAGAATTATTTTTGTTTCTATTTGTAAAAGCATGGTTTGAAATTCACGATTGAAAGTATCAGAAAGTTAGTATAAATATAAATTCATAAAGCCTTTATTTTTCTTCTTTGTTTTCTCCATTCAGTAAACTAATTGCTAACACTTTTTTTACACTTTTATCTTATTTGACCAAAAATAACTCATCCGAAGCTCTATTCTAAATTGATTATTCCGTACATATTTTCCTCTCAATTCTGGGTGATTTTGAAGAATTAATAAAATGAGGAAGCATTGCTTCAATTTGATTACCTATTTGCCATGATTAATGTGATTTTAGAAAAAATGGCTATTAATATTTTACATTTTAAGTTAAAACTTTTAACTTCATACTGTCAAGTTACTTTTTTAGGTAAAAATTAGAGTGTTGAACTTAAAGATCATAATTCTTTATTATAAAGTCCTTTTTCTTTCCCTTCTAAAAAGTGATATGTCCATGTGCATAATTTTATTTCATTTTTGTTGCTGAATTTGATATTTAAGATTTTTTCTTTCTTTAATTATAGAATGCTTACAAGTTCCAGTGTTACATTTGCAATTGGACTAATGACAATAAAACAAGTATCAATAAACATCTTTCATCTAACAATCACTTGAGATCTAAAGAGGTATTTTTTGACTTTGATTAATTTTGAGATAACTTAACAGAAAATTGATTGCTATTTACTGTTATTACTGTTATGTTATGAACCGAAATTTTATTCTTGTTGTTGACCTAGTAATGCTCAATGTGTACTTTCAAAATATATGCTGCATACTGAGAGAAAATTTATTTAAATCGACTGAAAAATAAACTACCAAAATTAAAAAAGATTTTTGTTGTAAATTTTGCCTCATCAACTGCATTTAAATTTTAATTATTGTAAAATGAAAGTATTTTGATCTTGAATAATGTAGCAATTTGTGATTATTATATAATTTAAAATTTTTAATTTCCATTCTTAGCGTATAGTGATATACTGATAATAAGCAGCCGTTTTCGTTAAGGAACATGTGTCAAAGAACTGATAAAAACTAAATTCAAGAAGAATTCGAATAATATCACGTGTGTAAATCTCTTACAGCACTTCACAAAAAAAAACCAATATTATTTTCTCACAAGAAAAATATGATTAAAGAATATATTGAACCTTTTGAAAGGGTATGATTATGTAGGAAACTCAGATTTCTAAATTACGGTGTAATATACACTATGCACTTCAAATTCTCAATAATGGCAATCTTTCATTTGTGCTTTATTCACATTATTTCCCCTTTAGTTTTCATATCACAAAGTATATCCTACCCCCTTGGTTTTGGATCACCGATATATCACAATCTTCTTGACAATAGATTACGCCCAAGACCTCCTAGGATAAGAATCGATGGTTCTGTCGCTCTCTCGTCATTAATAATGTTTCATGTTTATTAAGCAGTAACATCGAAAGAAACAGTAATTCAAATAGTTATGTCAAAACTTTAGTTTGATTGTTGTCAGTGGAGAAATGTAAGTTTTGAAAAATCAAAGAGTGTTAACACCAAATTTTTTAGTTATTTCCTGAAAAAGAATTTAAAAAAATTTTTTTTTATTGCTCTATTGTAATAATTGGTTCAGTTTGTACATTCTAATGGGCAGTAAAATAACATTGCTTCTCTGGAACAGCAAACGGGACTTCATGTAGTAGTTGTACTAAAGAGCGGGGGCTGTATTAGTATTTAAAACTTTTCCCTTAGATTCAATGTAATGTTTACTGTAAGAAAGATAAGAACTATTTGTACTTATTTGTTTTGGAGAATAACAAAAAACATTACCATAGTTACCTATATTAGTATATTGGGTACATATTACCACAATACCAGTAGTACCTGCATCACTGAAGTCAGTAAAAATTTTGTAATTATTTTTATGATCCTTCAAAACAAATAAATAAAGAATAATTACACAACGCAAAGTAATAAAAAATTTAATGTTTTAATCAATTACCTTTCTACCTAGAATTTCTACCAAAGATTTTTCACTCTTTTTTGTTTTAAAATGTACGAAACTATATTCTTATAGTTTATGAAGATTCAAATCATAAATCAAGTCTAGAATTTGTACAGTTATAGATTACTCACTTCTGGTCTTCATATCAAGAGTGTTATCTGGTCTTCATATCAAAGAATGTTATTTTTGCGCATTCATATCTAAATTTATTTTATTTTTGCCTCTAGCTCTCTGACAAAGATATGATGCTTCCATTTCTCCCAAAGCCTTTTCCTTCACAAATAGAAGCCATCACTGAGCTTATAAATAAAGAAGCTAGTAGAATTGGTTTGGAGCCGAAAGATTTAGAAATTAGAAAAGCATTAAGCTTAAGATTTATTAAATTTGTACAAGACCATGTTCCAAGTAAGGGTTTAATTTTTTTAATTTAATTTTTTTTCTTAATTTGCATATTTACTATATATTTACATATATGTGCAGTGAAAGCCCAACTATCGGGAATTTGTCTGAATCTAAAGTTCAAATAACTTTAATTTTCAGAAGTATATAGATTTTAAAATTTAATACACAAAATTGATTACTACATTTGAAAAATCATTTTTATTTATTTTAATAAAAGCTGCAGTTAGATTTTTATTTATTATTATTAATTTTGTATTATTACTAAAATTCTGGAATGCTGTTATTATGGATTAGCTTTTTTTTTTCTAGTAAATATTTAAATGTGGGACGCCTCCAATTTTGGCACATTAAGTAAACAAATCAGATGGTATTTACATAAGATTTGAATATTATTTTTATTTATTTGTTTGATCCTCTTGTTTTCCAGGTTTAGTTTTTGTTTGTTTTTTATTTTAAAAAACTTTTTTGGAAAATTATGTTGGTTTTTCCTTTTTATTGATTTTTCTATCAGCACCATTTTTGATAAAACTTTTTTTTTTGTGAAAATGAAGTAAGATTGAAAACAGAGCATCCAAGTTACCGAAGTCAATGCTTGTCTGGAGTTTTCTAATTGCTACATTGTATTTTTAATTCTTTTAAACTTGTTTACGAGGTTAATTTTTTTTTTTTAATTATCTGTGTGTGAATAAGAATTCACTTCTAATATTTTAAAATGGACTAATAATTCTGTAGTTCGTTTGAAGAATCCATTTTGCAAGAAGTTTTTGAAGTGTTTTTGCAAATTTAATTTTTTTTTTAATTTTAATTAGACCTTAAAAGGAAATGTAAGTAAAAATTGAGATTATACATAGTTTAAATTTTTAAAAATGCCCATAATTTAATCTCAAGGAAACTCGGATTTTTAATTTCTATCCACTTTGATGTTAAGTTTTTGATTTGTAATTCTTTTTTTCAATGTAATTGCAAAAAGAGTTATACAGTTTTTCATAAGTTTTTGCTTTGCAATTCTTTTTTTTTTTTTTTCAGTGTAATTTTGAAAAAAAGTTCTGCTGTATCCCATGTTCTTTAGCCTTGCTGTTTTCTTTTCTTTCTTTCTGGCTTTGCTTTTTGGATACGCATGCCAAATAAATTAAATTAAAAAAAATTTTCCCCTTATATTGCAGAACTAATAAATTGTCAGAACTCAATTACAACTCCACTGACTTGAAACGATGTGTAATACGAAAATAAACTTTACAGTTGTCTTGGTATGATTAACTATGCAAATCATCTAGAAGATGCTAATAGGTTGCTCATGCAATAAATGTTAAACAATCTTTTGCTACAAAAAGAGAATACAGCTTTTTGATAATGAGGGCAAAGTTTTTTTTTTGTATTTTCCATTCCTTATTAAAATAATCAATTTTGTAAATTATAAATATTGTTTCCTCTTTTAGACATTAAATTGGATTCCTAAACTTTGAAGTAAATTTAAATGTTGATATTAGTGGCAATAAAAAAAAATTTTATTGAGCAGTGGATGTTAGTTGAAATCAATCCAGATTTATATTTTAATTAAAAACATGTCTTTATTGAATTTGTTAAATTGAATATGATTTTATTACTTTATTTCTTATAGTTATTCTTTATTAACTTTAGGTTGCAGTGTTCATTTAATTGGCTCTTCAGCTTATGGTATTGGACTTAAACATTCTGAAGTAGATTTCATTGTTAAAGTAGATGAGGATGAGCTTGTTCCTGATGCTTTAGAAGCTCTGTATAATGCTGTTAGTAAAGGTATGTTAGATTTTTTTAAAATTATGTTAATTAGATAGTATTTCATGTTAATTAGTCTAAATTAATATTAATTAGTTCTTTACATGTATTTTGCATACAAAATTGCAAGTTTATATGTAGAAAGGAAAAAGGCTAAGCATGGTTGTTAAGGAATTTGGTTTTTGATAATTAAAATATGGGGGAAACCACATCATAAAAAATATGGTCCCAGTTGGTAAATTAGGAGAGCAGGTGTAAGCTTGGGCCGCTAAATGTTAATTCCCTCTTTGCACAATTCACTATATCTCTAGAACTATTTAAAGGAATCAAATTTCTCATAAAAATGTACAATTTGCTTATCGAGCAATAATATGAAGCAAATTTAAATTTTTTAAAGACTATTTTTTATTTGATTTTATATTGGTGGAAATGTTCTTGAAATGTAAGGTATATAAATTTTCACCTTATTTTAATCTTTGTAAATTTGCTTTTTTTATTTTTTGTTATTAAGTTTCAAAGTAATAAAATTTCAAAAGAGACATTATTTTAAATTTTTGTTTCTCAAGATGTATTCTGCAGATTCAAATTTTCTTTTACTATTCAAAATACCTTAGTTTGAAATAGTATAAAGCTTTATATACCTTTTTGTAAATTTTTGTGCTATTTTTAGATGAAATAATAGATTGATTAAGGTTTGAAATTGGGTGTAATTCATTTTAGTTCACTTAAATATTTCCCAAGATATAAATATACAGCTTCCAAGAAAAATGTTGAAGTTATCAATAAATTTCAGAGGGAAGAAAATAAAAAAACATAACTTTTTGACATGTTTCTTTTTTTATTCTTGCACAATGTGCTTAAAAGCAATACTCTCGACTTTGTACAAAGTTAAGACAGACATTTCCCTAAACTATGTAAACATAAGCAATGTGATCATATAAGTTATTAGACTTAAAATACTTTGCAAACATTTTCTCTATTTATATAGTATGGATTATAGATTAATAATTTAAGTAGTCATGGATTTTAATACTAATTTCTAAACTACAGAATAGTGGATAAATCCATATTTTGCTGAAGTTTTAAAATCTTTTTTTTTTTTACCCTCAAAAAAATTTATTTTAAAGCATGTGTAATCTTATCTATTTTTTTTTAATCATTTCTAAAAGTGCTGCCATATTTACTTTCTAATTATATCAGTTATCCTCACATTTGTTCCTTATGATAAAATTTGTTAACATATCAATTTCCATAATTTTTGCTTAGCTAAGTGATATTCTTATCTCTTATTTTCATTGGGAAATAAATAAACAATAAAATATGCCATTTATCAAGATGTAAACTTTCATCACAATTATGATAATGAGAATCCACTATAGAAATATTTGAGTACCTTTTTGTTTCAGGAGTTAAGAAGAAAATTTGTTTTTCTATGTTTTGTTTTCAATGGTTATATTTTATGAAAACATGTTTAGTTTTTATTAAATTGAAAAAATTTTTTTTTAAATTTTTTTTTTATAAAATTTTAACACAAAAAGCATTAAATATTTTATAATTTTAAATAATTTATTTAAAATTTTAAAATATAATTTATGTATTTTAAAATAATTGGATTTTTTAAAAAATTAAATTAAAAGTGTTTGTTATAATTTGATTTACATCTGTAGTTGTGAAAATGCATAAGGAACTTCTGAATTTTACAAATTTCTTATTGTAACCCACTCTTTTTAAAAAATTGCTCAATTCCTACATATTTTAGAAAGTTTAATAAAGCTTTTCAAACACGTACCTCAATGTTATTAAAATTATAATTAATCTATTCATTCCTATTTAATTGTTCACAACAATGCAGCAGTAAAAAAAAGCTTGTTGATTTTAAAATTATTTCTTTGAAACCCTTAGAATTTAAACATTAAACTTTTTTTGCCTTTTGTTGACATATTTGTTTAGATTTTTCTTTTAGATGTTAAGATTTATTACATTAAATAATACAGAGAACTGGCTGTTTTGTTGTAAGAGTAAACATCTTAGGCTAATCAAGGTTGACTTTTCAAAAGAGTGGAACTCATGACAATTATGAACACGCTCTCATTTTTATGTGTTTTTAATTGTAGGTCATTTTACTTAAAGTCTTGCATTTTATATTATTTTATAAAATTGTGAAGTTTTTGTCCATTCTAAAAATGTGTGAGAGAAAAAAAATATATAATTTTTTTGTGCTGCAGTGAAACGTCAGGTTTCTTTACTGTAATATCCCATTATTTTTTAATTAAAATCGAATAAAAATCAGAAGTCTGATTTCAAAAGAGCGGAAATTAGGCGGGGATTATCATCGCTTCATAATCTTTTTAACAAGTCGCAAGTGTAAAAAAAAAATTAGTTTTGTTTAATTTAGTGTGCTATATACATTTTTATAACAACTCACAAGTGTAACTGTAGGGCCACAAAGTAAGTAAGCAGATAGATTTGATTGTATAGTTTAAAACTTATTGAATACCACTTTTATAAAATGTCTATATTTATTATATGTAGTTATAAAAAAATTTTATATCCAGGTGATGCTTATGAAAGGGCTATTCCTGATTTTAAACAGAAACGACCTCAAGTTCGATTTGTTGACAAAGAGGCACGCCTGTCTTGTAATATACTCATTGACAACAATAGCAGCTTAAGATTAGCATATCTGTTATCCACATATTGCAAGTTAGATGACCGTGTACAAATTCTTGGTGCTGCTCTGAGATATTGGGCACAGGTAATTACTCCTCTTATTCAAAGGTCTTTAGTTTTAATATTTTTATTATTTTTTTTTTATTAAATTCTTATATTTATGGTGCAAACTTTATGAAATAGTATAATTATAAGTAAATATTATTTTTATTTTCCTTAATATAAGCTGAAGATTAACCAAATTTATTTTGCAAATCGGATGTTTGTTTTTAATCTCTTGGTATAGGGTTAAAAATATTAAGTAAAAATAGCAAAGGTGCATGAGCAATAAATCTGTGTAGTTTATTTCAAAGGATATTGTTTCTATAAACTTGTTTTGATTCACATTGTTTAATAATTTTTTTTTCCAATTCCTACAATTTTTTTTTTTCAATTCCTATCTACACACTCCCTATATCTTGTTCAAATTTTCAATCATTAATAAAATACTTTTTATTCATCCACTCAACTTTAAATAATTTTTTTTTTTTTGAACTTGTAGTGGATGACACTTAATGTTGATACAGTTTTTTCAAATATTAATTCATTAATTAAATAGGGATGAGAGAAAAATAATGGAATTTTCTGATTGTTTAAGTGTTAATCATTGTTTTAAATTTTACTGTAAGCAATTCAGTTTTTCAGATGTTTTAAAATTATCAGTGATGATTTCTAACTTATAGCTCTATTTGAACAAAAAAAAAGTTTATTACGACATTTAAATATTTAATTATTTTCTATTTGCTGTGGCAGATAAATTCAATAATGAACATTACGTGGTAGCACATGTGGTCCACGTCACCAAATTTATATTTTTATAGTTGTCTGATCCCACATGCTTTTTTTTTTCTTTTCAATTCCTACTATTTCACTCTCTCCCTATATATATTTATATATCATGTTCTATTTTTCAATTGTTAATTAAATACTTTTTATTCACCCATTCAAGTTTAAATACATTTCTTTAAACTTGTAGTAGATGACGCTTAATGTTAATACAGTTTTTTCAAACAATAATTCATTAATTAAATTTAATTAATTAATTTTAGTTTTATATGGGAGAAAAATTTTAATTATTTAATAAAATGTAACTTCTTTGTTGACATAAGTAGGAATTAATTTAAAAAAAAATTTAATATTACTTGTTTATTGTCTGCATGATCGTTCAAAATTATATGCAACTTTTATAAATAGCAACATGCTATTTAAACCTTAAATAACATTCTTAACAAATCAACCTGTTTTAGATTATTCATTTTATTTAATCAATCTTTAAATCACTGTTCAATAATCCGAAAATTTCAATGTGTAATAGTTTTTCTTACTTTTTTATTATTACTCATGTTATTATTACTCATGTTATTATTACTCTTTTATTATGCTCTTATATTTCAGGGGTGCTGAAAATTTTCAGAACCTTATATTTCTAGAACTGTTTTTATTTTCTCCAAAATTACAGCCTTTTNTTTTTTTTTTTTTTTTTTTTTTTTTTTTTTTTTTTTTTTTTTTTTTTTTGGTTAAAATGACTTTTTCAAATTATTTTTGTATGTAATGTTTATATATCGTTAAAAATTTTTGATAATAATTTTTTTTAAATAAAAAATAAAAAATATTCTCTTGAATTTTATCCAGCTCTTCAATGAACTAGCTTGTGTGTTTAAAACTCAAAATATATTGAAATTTTAATAATTTATAAAACAATATTTATATTATCAATTATTAATATTATATATGAGGTCCCCTTCCTAAACTTAAGGAATTCAAACTAATAAATAAATGGATTTAGTTTTTTATAATGGGGAAAGTAAGTAAGATATTAATATGCTAATATGGGATAAAATATGAAGTTTTGTTTTAACAAGTATCTAATTTAAGATTATATTTCAGAAGAATAAATATTTCCTGCCTATAGGAAATGTAATCTTCAGACAAAAACAGACTGCAAGACCCAAGGTGCCCTTATTTCCCCCTCTCTCTTTTTTTGACTATGAATAACAGTGAGGGGAAAAAAAAAGTCAATCTGAATAACTTTTGTTTTGATGATTAGATCTTCCCTTACTAGGTCTTAAAAAGTTGTGTATTAAAATTCGGTTTCTCAGGAACTGCTTTGACCAATTTCATTCATATTTTGTATTTTGCCTCATAAAATCACATTCTTTAAAGTGGTGTAGAAATCTTTATACCTTGCACTTTTAATTTTTTAATCTATTATTAAGTTAATAAAAGTAAGCAAAAGTAATTAAACTAAAAGTTATTTATTAGTTTTAATAATAGAGTTTTTTTTTTTTTTAATTTTCTTTTTAAAGATAACACATTGGATAAATTGAGCCATATTAACAGCAAGATCAGATAAACAAAATAATGTTGCTAAAAATAAAGTTTGAGGCAACTAATAAATAAAGCATCTAGGTGCCATGCATTTTGTACAGAAAAATATTAATCCCATTAATAGCTATCTTTCAAAGCATTGCCATGTTTATTGCTGTTTATACATTTCCTTTAATCTGTTCTTAATTTTTTTATTATTCTCATTTCATTTTTCAATTGTGAAGATTTAGATTTTTTTTTTCATTATGTAAGTTACATTCATTTTTAGTTTACAGAAATTATTAAATTCTATATATATATATATANATGAAGTAATTTCAATATATTAATGTAAATTTATTGTCTTTCTTGAAATTAGCTGTGTCAAGTAGACTTGCAAGACCATGGCACTCTACCTCCGTTTTCTTATGCCTTATTGTTAGTACATTTTTTGCAGCAAGTGCAGCCACCTGTCTTACCTGTTTTGCATGAGGTATTCTATATTTTATAAATGTTTGTATGTAATTTTTACAACAAAGCTACTTTATACGTTTCAATCTCTATTTTTGTATAGCCATAAGATGTTTGAAAAAAGTTTAAATTAGCAATTGATCAGCTAAGGTAGAATTAAAATATTTCTTAAGCTAATGTATTAATTTTTTAAACAGTCATTTGGTAAGGTACTAATTATAATTTTTACACTTGTCCTACTCAAGTATTGATTGGCAGTATTGCTGAGGATTACTCAATGGGGAAGTAATTCTGCAATAGTTAGTTTGTGTTTTGCCATTTTGAAAGCATTTTTTCAACATTAACTTCATAGTTAATTCTAAGTTTACTTGAACTAGCATTTCTCTAAACTTATAATATTGAAATGCCAATGGAGTTTAAACAAAATTTGCCATGAAAATATTTTTCCCACGGTATAGGTTCCTTTTGATATGTTACATTTATTTGAAGTATTTAGAATAATTTATTTAAAAATAAGTACTCTTTTCATTTAATAAATTCTCTATTTCTGCCACCAAAAATTAGGTATGTTCAAATAATGTTTTCATATAATTGTAAAAGTAGTGTTTTATAAGAAAAGATGAGTCTTGCACAATACCTTGAGGAAGCACAATACCTTGAACTAATTCATTGTTTTTGCTATTAAAATCACCAGTGTTTTCTTTTCTTGCAAATTAAAACCTAGTTTTTTTTAAATCTAAATTATCAACTGATATTCAGAAATATACAGTGACTTATACCTATAAGTTTAGGTTTTTAAAGCGTTTTAGCTGTATATTTTTATTTATACTTGTGCTTATATTAAAAGAAAAACCATGTTGAAAATTTGTTTTATAGCATTAACACATTGACTGACAGTATTAATAGTTGTTAAATCATATTTCTATTTCTTTTATTAAATTATTTTTAACTAGTTAAATTTCCAGTTTGTTACTTTATTTTAGGTGAAGAATTTTTCTGGTTCTCCAGACTTTTATGATAAATATGTAGAGGTAAGATACTATATAATAGTTAGTAAAAAAATTTTCATATATAAAAGTAAATACTTTTATAAAATATGTTTAGACTTGAAATTTTAAATATTTAAAATTTAATTCTTCCTAGTTTTCTTTTTTGTGACTTATGCAAAACAGCTTAACCAAAATAATTTAATCCTCTATATCTCATGTACACAATAAATATTCTTTATTACTAAACAATTCATGAAATATTTATAGTTTCTTGATTGTTAGTAAAATTTCTTAGATAACCATTGCTTTATAATAATATGGTGCACTTTCTGTGAAATTTTTTTATTTTTTTTACTCGCTTTGATAAGCAAAATTATTTAACAACTTTGTTGCTTTAATAGCTAATAAAAACTTTGCCGAAAATAATAATTTTTCTTTTCGCTCTAATATAGACATCTTTATTTGAATTATGTTTCCTGAATTATAGTTAAGCTTTCAATGAACTTTATCCCTTTTTACATGCTTGCTTGTCTTAATCTTAACTTAAAAGTATATATATGTGAAAACGGTCACACAGAGTCTAGAAAATATTTGAGAATAAACAAAAGTATTCTTTTTTTAAACATTTTATTATTATAGAAAATTAGTTAATCCTAGAATCCTGAATAAAATTTGAGTAATTTGCTTTTTATAAGTAATGATTATCTAGGGAAAATGTTGAAAGAATTTCCCTAATTATGTCAAAACACCTGATGTATGGAAAAATTTAGTATTTTGAGTGGCTCTTATCTTTGATTGGAGAGGAATTTAAGAAAAATAGTTTATGATAATTATTTTTAAGAAATGCTAAACACTTACTCTAAAAATTGATTAACAGGAAATGGAATAAAAATTATGAGACAGACTTGCTGCAGACTTTAATTTTTTTATATATCTCATGGAGTTATTACCTTTATATCTCAGGGCAGCACAGGCATACGTCATTATTAGAAAATATATAATAATAGCATATAGATAATCGCATAACCGACAGTCAAACAAAGCTGCTGTTCAATATCAAATATTTAAAATTGGCTGCTAGTCGGTTATGAAGAACTGCCACTGTGTGATGTCACTAAAAGATCTTACTACAACTGTGTGATGTCACTAAAGGACCTTACTACAACTGTGTGTTGTCACTAAAAGACCTTTTTGATCTTGATGGCCTTATTTCTCGGTGGCTATGGTTGAAAGGGCTATTGTTAAAATGGTTTCTAAAAACAAAACTGGCCAAAGACTATGCATTTTTTCTCCATAATTCATGTATCGAATGCCCATTTTTGTAAAATAGACTTAGTTTTTTTATCCAGATTACACGTTTTTGCCTTTACTAGTCTAGTTTTAGTTAAAGCATAAAATTACGGTTTCTCTGTTTATAACCCAAATATTAGCATTTAAAATTTATTATCAATCAAATAATTTTAAATTTTTTAAATCTTGTTATTAATTAAAAATCATTTTGCTATAAATGTATCTATGTTTAGATTTAGGTGTATAATTGTATTATAAACATGTAATTAAAAAAATTTTCAGGACAAAGAATGGAAATCTCAGAACACAGATTCTATAGGAGAGCTATGGTTAAAATTTTTCAGATTCTATACATATGAATTCAAAATTGGTGAAAGTGTTGTTTGTATTCGCTCTTCTAAACGGACAACATGCGCTGAAAGAAACTGGAATACAAGATTTTATGCAATCGAAGGTAAAATTTTATTTTAATTCTACTTTTTATTTTTATTTAAATGGTTCATGTAGAGGAAGCTAGACCAGCTTGCCACTTCTATCTAAAATGCTCGTTTTTTTTTAAACCTAAATTTATGTAATTTGGAATAATAGTAATGTAATGAAGTAATTTCAGATAGGTAGAAAATCTCAGCATGCTTAAAATAAAACGTCTGTTGGCAAAAAATTTTCGTGGTTATGTATTATCTAGATTATGTGTATGGTCATGTATATAAACTTATTTTCTTAACCCCTTTATGATCTTATTGTTTTCAGGAAAATTATGTAAAAAAAAGGTGTATGTTTAATATCTATATTCATTTTTGATTTTTTGAATTATTTTTTGCTTGAAATTTACTACTCCATATGTCTCCATATTACAACTCCATGTAACTCTGACTCCATAATGTATACAATATTAAAAAATATTTTTTTGCTGAGCACAAACCAGATGTATTCTCGAAGAACATGAGTAGCTGAGCTATGAATATGAAATACATATCACACACACACATATATATATGTGTATATNTATATATATATATATATTTGAATAATCACTTCCCCTATGACTGGGAAGCATTTATTTGATTGCCCCTCTCTTCTTGACATTCGTTCTTGTGATGACTTTTGTGCCCTCTCACCTTCTGTAGCTACTTCAGTGTTGTATTGGACTGCAAGACGCCTTATGTCTGAGAAGACGATGGTGGGCGTAATTTAAAAAAATAAATAAATAAATATTTGAATAATACTGACATCCAATTTAAAATAAACTATCTCCTGTTACATTAAGAAAAAGTCTGGTGCAGCCATCCAGCATGTTAAATTAGAAATAAAAGAAATTCCGAGTGCACAAGATGGGTATATTTAACCTTTTTTGGTGCATTACTCTTGAGTGCTTTTATCCAGAAATATCATGGATGCGAGAAATAGGAAACGAAAGCTCTTCCCGTGATTTTGATGGGAGCAAGAGGGAAAGGGTTAAAAAAGAATCAAGCATCAAACTTTATCGCTTTATCCTAAAGGAAAATATCTAAAAAAAAAATTATTTTTATCTAACACTTAAATTAACAGAAATTTGTATAAATAAAAACTTATTGATAACAATTGCAAATATTTTAACCTCAGTTTTCATGTTTTGATTTCAATTAAGTAAATAATATTTTTTATATTCATTTTCAGAGCCATTTTTAAGGAGAAATATTGCATATGTTATACCAACCTTTCAAATTTGCCAGTATATCCAAAACTGCTTTCTTCGAACTTATCGATATTTCGCCTATCCACAACAGAAAAAAGGGTTCGAAATTGTTCATTTGTTAAAAACTGATGACTTTGATGCTCTAAAGCTCTCTGAATGTGAGTATAAAATTTCATATAAGCAATATACTTTTCATTTAGTTTTTCATTGTTAATTATTAATTTTCAAGATTATTAAACTAAGTTAGTGTATTTTAATATATATTGATGTGCATACAAGTAATTTTATTTTATATTATTGATAATTTTAAATCTGCTTCATTAGCTTTGTCGCTGTATTTTGTGAAGGTTTTGCTAAAAGTTTGATTTAGTTAATATAATTTTTTTCTAGTGAAACTAAATCACGTTTGTATTTATTTTTTTATTTGATGCAGTTTTAAATAAATTTTGAAAATGTGTATTATTATTTAGTTTGTATTACATTACACCATATAGTTAGTTCAATCTAAAATATCTATATAAAGTTGAAACTGATAAAAGTATATACATACATAACAAATTTCTTGTAAGCTCTAAAGCTTTTCATTATAAACAGAAACAAGAAAATAAATAAAAATTTTCTATTTAGTAATGTTATAGGTTTTAGTATAAACTTGAAAAGCAAATTAAGTAAAATTAACAATTAGCCAGATTTATTTTTTGTTTTACCAGTTTCCTTTTCTATGTTTTTCTAGTTTAATACTTTAGCTACAAAAAAGTTATATTGATTATGATAACTATCCACTTTAAAATAAAACTAAGTTGAAAATTGTCCTCTAGAATTTTCGCAATTCCAACAATGTGTGCAGATATTCTTTAAATTTTTATTGTTAAACTTTATTTCTTGTGAGAACAATAACAGCATATTTGACTGATGTCACATTATCAAATTGTCTAAAAACATAATTAAATTTTGTTTATGCAGCGTAGTAAACTTATGAGTTATTTTAATTTGTTGGAATGACTAAATGTTTTAAATCACCCTTTTGTAAACTTCATAGTTTTATACTAAAATTAGATGTATATTACTGATTAACTTCTTTTTCTAATGATTGGATATTCACAAACTGCGTGCCAATCTTAATGGTTCAAAAGGGTGACCTCAAATTTGCTAATTAGGTGCTAATTATTGAAATTTGTATAGTTTTCTCAGCCCAAAATAAAAATGATAACAGAGTAATAAATTTTTAATAAAAAATCATTATTATATATGGAATTATCTTGGGATAAACATTTTTCATAATTGTGGGGTGAAAATTTTCAATTTGTTTTAAAAAATCTAGAGATGGTGAAGTATGCACAGAAATTGAATGACAACCACCGGTTAAAGCATTCAACCACTCTCCTGCTTAATTTATTAAGACCATATTTTCCAAATTACGGTTGCCTCCCATATTTTCATAGTCAAAAACTCAAAGCCACAAAAAAGGAGGTATATTTATTCAAATAAAGTGCAATTTTTATTTCTGGCTCTGCAGTTTAATTAACAGTTGGCACTAAATTCTCAGAATATCATTTTGCACCATAAAGATTTGCACTTCGTTTGTGAAAATCTGATCATTAAAATGTAAGTTATTCAGCATGATATCTACTCTTTTTTTATTTTATTTATTATACATACATATAAATAATATATAATAATGCAAAACTAATGTATAAATGAGTTTTTATTATTATTTTAGATGTGAAGGAACCTCTACTTAAAGAAGATGTTTCTGATGAATCTGAAGTTTCAGACAATGAAGATTCTACTGCTACAGATTTATTAAATATCAGCCAAGAGTTAGAAGACCATGACCCTGATATAGCTGTTGAAGATCTAGTATCAGTTATTTCAAACATATCACTAGAAGATTCACCAGAAAACATTATTGAAGGAGTAACAGAACCATCAAATCCTGTTTCAAATGACGCAGGATCAACTGTTCAAAATGCTGAAGAGAAGCAGACAGACATTTTGCTGAAGGAAAGTCAAACAAAATTATCAAAACCAAATACTCCAGTTTGTCATTGGGATACGAATGGTAAAGAAGTGTCAAAAGACATGTTTTCCTACAAGTTTGACGTTTCCGTTTTGAAAGGAGAAAAGGTATGTATTTAATGTACAATTTTGTATAAATTTTAATTAAATTAATTGTGTATCTTGTAAACAGCTATATTAACATGAGTCAGCGTAGCCGAAAGGTTGGCGTCGTTCTGGAAAGACAGAGATGCAGAGTTCGTTCCTGATAACTGAGAAAATTTAAAACTCTGAAATAAGCTTTTATTTATTATTTTTGTATCTTCTAGAATGTTCTAATTTATCATTTCCGGTTCCATTATTATTCCTATAAAAGACCAGATGTCTCAAGTCGAGACGCCAGTTGCTTTGTTCCCTGTACTTTGAAGGTGTTCAATAAATCGCTTCAACTTTCTGAACTAATTCATTCTATTCTATGTGACATTATTTGGTGGTGGCGTCAGGTATTAGAAGCAGAACTGGCCGGTGATTTAAGAGAGTCCAAGATTCTAGGAAATTCTGGAAACTTTTTTTTTTAAAGAAAAAGATAAAAAAAATGTATCAGTTCTTATATCAGTTCAGTTATATTCATTCTAGGATATTTTTTAATATAAACTGTTTCAATACTTGAGTGAAATTTTAAAATACGGAACAACAAAAAGCACAAATGTGTTTATCAAGTTTCACTATGATAGTAATAAACATAAAAATCTAATTTCTTTAAAAATATGTTTATACCATTTCAAATTTGGAAAACATTTTCATTTTTTTGTTAGAAATGGTTATTATATTTAATCAATATAATAATATTGGTTTATAATATAATACTTAGTTCATTACACTTAGTAATTTTTTTGTCTTTATAGTTACTTTGCTCTTTTAATTTCATCAAAACTAAACAATATGTTTCTGATCCATAAGCAGTAAAACCCTGAATATCGGACCCTTAATTAAAGGACACACCAGTTATCTGGTTTTGTTCTAACACTAGTTTCATATCAGTATCAAAAATGCTTGTACCATAATCTATATTGTACTCTAATTTATGCCAAAGCTGAAGATGTGTTAACTAAATGATTTCTGTGGCTTTAAAAACAAGGCAATTTGATGTTATTATTGCTAAGGCAAATCTAATATCTGACTTCTAAAAACAACTATGAAACGGAAAACTAAAAGGCATAACTGATTTTTTCCCATTATACTATTATATCATTAGCTATGATTAAAAAAAAAAAAAAAATTTATAGAAGCTTTATTATAGTTGCTATTTTAATAATTTTACTAATAGTTTAATGTTTATATATTGAAAAAGAATCTCATAAAAAGTGTTCCGATTATTTGATGATTTCGATTTTCTGACATATTTCTGGTTTCAAAAGTGTCGGATATTTTTCAATTAATTTGTTTAAGCTCTATTTAATTCTTCATAGAAAATATTACTGATGCCACTTTTCGAAAATTTGCAATTATGCAAATTTATTCCCATTAAGCTTTCATATTATACAATTCCATGTTTCACTTACTGTAAAAGAGTTAGTTCTAAATTTATTCCTCTGTGATTTTTGATGCTGTAGCACTTTATTTATTTGCTCATTTGTTTCCTTTGATTCTTTGGTATTTTAAAATTTTTTATTGATCATTATTGCATTTTGTTCTAGCCAATTCCTTTAACATGCAGATTATGCAAGAAGACTGGTCATCTGAAAAAGGTATGTTTAATGTAAAATACTGTTTTATATTGTGCTCTACATGGTTGTATTCAATGGAAACAATTTAGTGTTACTAAACTTAATACGAGACTTAGTATCTAAATAAGGAATAAATAGATAGTAGGAGTTGAAAAGTATTAAAATATTCCTTCAGTTATTATAATAGATTCATTTTCTTTTTATTTTGCAACAGGTTATATATTTTTTTAAATGCCCAGGCTACAGCAAAACATACCTTTTGCAGCATTCATAATATGTTTTATGTATATATGTACTTTTATCGGTTTTAAGATTGATCTGACTATATGGTACAAATTTTTTACTGTGCTATATGAAGTAACTGTGACATTAAGTCACAGCCTAATTTCTAAATATCCCGTTTTATTAATCAAAATACNATGAAGAAACTTTTTTTTTTTTAACTTTTCTTTGCATGGATTTTTCTTTTCTTTTTTTTCAAAAATAAATCAGGGTGATATAATTCATGCTCGAGATTAAAAGAAACTTCTTTAAAAAAATAGTGTTATGAAAATCATCAAGCAAATTTGCTTGTTAAGCTCAGTAAAAAATAAAAATAGTAATATCAGTAATTGTATCATTTTTATTCCTGATGAAAATTTTAAAAAACAAAACAATTATTCTCCTCTTGCAACACTCTCATAAATTCATCTGCATTGCGGTACTCGTCAGTAGAATTTTCGTTATCAAGGCCATCTTCTAATAGTCAATCACCTTCTATCTAGTCCAAATAATCTTCAATGTCCTTCCCTTCTACATTTTCATCATACAACAACTGCATAGTAATGTAAATTTCTGTCAGATGGTTTTGATTAAATTATTTTGGGTTATCACTATACACCCTTGTGCAAATTAATTGAAACAAACTCAATAAATTCAGAAAACTAAGAGAAAATGCTATTTTATTTAAATTTATACAAACTCAAAAATTTTTAGTACATAATATGGTCTCCACGACACTTTATTAACATTTGGACACGATTCGGCATGGATTCCACTAATTTTTTACAGTCATTTATAATATTTGTGTCCTTGTACCACACATGAATTAACGCCGTGATTAGCTTCTCCATAGTTGTACAGTCCATATTTAATAGGTGATTCTTGCATATTGCCCAGAGATTCTCAACTGGGTTGATATCCGGAGATTTCCCTGGCCATTCCAATGTCTCAATTTAATTCTCAGACATGAATTTCTTGACAATTTTAGACGTATGGCAAGGAGCTAAATCCTGTTGAAAAATCCCTGTTCCTTCAGGGTATCGTTTCTTCAACTCTGGAACAACTTTTTTTTATCCAGAATAGTAATGTACTGCTCAGAACGCATCATACCGTCAATAGGCTGCAAAGGTCCAACCTCATTGTAACCGGAGCAACCCCAAAACATCTTCGTTAAAAAACACGAAAAAAAGAGTTTGTTTCAATTAATTTGCACAAGGGTGTAAGTTGTACAGAAATTAAGAGAAAAACAAAGCAAAAAAAAAAAAACTTTTTTACTCATTATCGCTTTTATTAGCAAAACTGTCTCAGATTAGTTATTATGAAATACTTCAAATGTCACACGCTTCTCCTAACCACAGCAAAGAGCAGAATAATAAGTTCAAACTCCCTATAATAATTGTGACATTTAATGTGTTTTTTTGTTGACAGCTACGTTTTCTATTGCACAATAGTCGTGACAAAAGTTGTAAGCTAGGACTAATTTACAGTACACCTCTTTTGAGTACAATTTTTTTGTTCACTAAATGTTATAATGGAAATTTCCATCATGGTACAAAGAAGGGCTACAACAGTGTAAAAATTTGTATACTTAACAATTCAAAATTTTTTCAACTGTTACTCAATAAAATAAATACTTAGAAATTTTTTTTTTGCGTATAATCATCTTTGAATAATCCAATTCTATAATTCTGTGCAAAAGCTTTTCATTTCCATAAAAAAAGTTTGTGACATGATATGATGAAATACGAAAAAATTTAAATTTAGGAGTCCGAACTTTCGAGTGCTCACCTGACCAAACTATTGGGACCATAGCTCTCAGATTGCTGCGGCTACCCCCAAACACTTTGGGGGGTTGGAATCAAACATTTGTAATACATTTACAATTGTATTTGTAATTGTCTATTTTTTCTATCAATTTCTTAGCTTAAGCTTGCAACATATTTTTGTTCTTTATTTTAGGATTGTCCAGTTGAAGAACCTGAACCTCCTAAACCTTTACCTCCTATGACTCAGGAATTTTTAGAAGCTATTCATCGTTGTTTGCAATATATTTATGGTAAATATTTCAATATTTCTAATTAATTTTTTCTCTATTATATATATATATAAACATGTGTGTAATCTTGGCTTGGTAGAGTAGAAGCTGTTTATAGATTTGGAGATTATGGTGTTCAATTTTTAAGAAAGAAAGATTAATATAGTTACTCAAATCATGAATCTTAAATGTTTCCCTAAAATATTCTAAGGAGATATATAGTTTCCAATAATAAATAGTTACTTCCATTACTAGTGACTGATAGAACTACAAGGACTGCATCTGAAAACAAAATTAAAATTAACATTTAAATTTTTTTTGATAAAAAAAATTCAAAATATTTAATAAATGAACCAAATTGAAATGTTTTCAAATGTATAGATTTGTGTTCAAAATGTCTTTCTTTATATAGTGAAATGCTTTATTGCAAATAGGTATTTTAATTAAGATTAGTCAATATTTATTCTCCAATAGGGCTCAGATTGAAATTAATTTCATTTTGGCTTTCTGAGTTGTAATCCTAACAAGTTATCGAGATTGTCCACACAGGGCTAAGCGCAGGTAAATTACTCAAGGGCTAGTGTGGACATAAACCTTTTTCATAAATTTTCTTATAAAAAAATTTTAAAACTTTGAAGTACAGATATTAATTAAAAGGCTGAATAAGAACCATCAAAATTATTGGTAAAAATACTTCATCAGGTACAAATTATATTTAATAAGGATTTTTGACAAATTTGTAAAAAATGTCCTTGCTAGTTCTCCTCTTCCTTATGTATTAACTCTATTTCTGCTGTGGTTAAAACTTGTTAAGTTATTAATGATTTGTGGCTTCTAGAATTAAAGTTAAAGTTTATTATTATGCTCGTGGAAAATTATTATATGATGAATTTTTTCTTCACAAAAGCAAATTTAAAAATTTATGTTTTAAAAAGTTGCGATAAACTATTTTTTTTCCATTTATTTGAAACTATTTTGTTTTTCTATGTAAGTCCAATATTGATCCATTTTTGATTTTACGACCTATTCATTGATGTCATTCTGTAGTTTGTGGAATAGCACACCATGTAGTGTAAATTGGTTATTTTGGAAGGTAATTTCTTTTTTGATGTTTTTCTTTAAAAAAAATTAAATGCGTCATTATAACAGGAAAATAATTACTTAAGAATTTGATTTAAAAATATGCAATGAATGCAATAATTCAGAATTCTCCTCAGATGACTTTCTTAAATTAGTGTTAGCTTTAAAAAAGAAAATATTTATTGCTTTTCATAATAAAAAGGACATTTTTTTAATGCTATTATAGTTTCTTGTGGTGTCATATGATATATGTGCTGTTATTATGTAATATGTCAGGAAACTGTTAATGTAACTGCTTATAATTTATGATGAGATAGCAAAGTTACTTTTTTAAAAAAAAATTAAGTGTGTAAAAATTTTTTTTCATTATAGGCTTTTTCTGCAGAAATAAATGTGTCTGAATGTTAAAAATTTTACTAGATTATACGAAAGGCATGCATACACAATGTGTGCTTCATTTACATTTCAATGTACTTAATGTTTTGTTTGAAAAGTTTTTTTTTTTTTTTTTTTTGCTTTTTTTACAGAGAAAAATCGTGTAAGTGATGATTACTACAAAGAAGTTGAAAATAGTATGAAAGATGTTGAATCATCCATCAAAAAAGTTTTTCCTGGTGAGATTTTTTTTCTTTTGCCCTCTTGAAACTTGTCTCTGTTGTTGGTCAGATCAATATAAATAGGTTGAAACTTCTTGGCAACAATGACCAATGAGTCCATAGTAGTTACCAATAAGTCCATAAGTGCCTTATTTTTTTTAAATTTTTAAAAAGTATTCTGACTTTTTAAGAAAGAATTGAAAATAAAGAAGTGTCTTTTTTGATTCATAATGAAGCATGGTGTAATGAAATATTAAAATAACACTTGATACAGTTGAATGCTTTAAATACTGACTAAGCCTCAACCCAGATTTTGGAGAAAATCCTGCAAAGTGGGGGATAAACATCAGCAAGGGGGAAAGAAAAGAAAGTCAAACATATTTAATATGGCAGAAATGTTGCTCTATTTAATTAAATATAAAGCAAATGAAACTAAACCGAAATAATTAAAATAAGTAAATTGTATTTTAAATAACTTACTTTTCACCTTTACTCTTCTTTTACAATTTGTTACAATTCCATTGTTAAATATAATTAGTGAGAAAAAAAATTATTTTCTAAAGAAAAAACACTAAGAATGTAAGATTTGATTTGAATATATTTATAGCCATTTCTGATCGTAACTGGAAAAACTTTAAAATGATACACCTGAAATAGCGTTACTATAAATAAGGATGTTTGAATTTGAAATCTTGTCAACGTAAATTGCGATGCTTGATTTTAAAATTGCAAGACTACGAATTGCAACATTTGATTTTTAAATTGAGTGACTTTGAATAGGGATTTGTAATTTTTAAATCAAGTGAATATGAATCACAATATTGGTTTTTAAAAATGTATGAATACAAATTTCAATATTGGTCTTTAAAAACACATGTATACAAATTGCGATTTGTGATTACTTAAACACATTGATACTAATTACAATGTTTGATTTTTAAATCACTCTGATTTGAATGGCAATGTTTAAAGATTTTCAAATTAAGGAGATTTAAATCTTAATTTATGTTCTAACTCTGTATATGGGAGGTGGATGGGGACTTATTCAGTTTTGATTATGGAATATTCATATTTAAATGAATCTGGCGGCTTATTCGGTATTTTATGATAAGTGATCTACATGTTAATAAAACTCACATAAAATATTAATGTGATAATTTTTCCAAAATTAATAAGTGATAGTATAATTAGTATATAACAGAAATTATGTGCTTGTATATGAACTTTTTGTGGTGGTATATATTGTGGTATATATATAGCATTATTGTGGTTTTAAAAAGTAAAAGTTTTAGCAAAAACTTTTTTTATAAATGGTTCTAATAATTCTATCCTCTCGCTTGATCTCAAGTTAGACGCTAATTGCTGGTTAATTTACCAGAATAATTCTAAGTGCGGCCTATTCTAAATGAGATTGTAAATTATTATTAGTTTGATATTTCTATACTTTTTTGTTTAAAAACAAAAATATTTTAATAGGTCATGTGTTTTGGGAATGTTTGTTCTGTGCTGAAACTATAAAAGTCGGACAGAATTTTTTTATAAAATTCTTCTTCACTTTTTAAATTTATGCTGATTTGTAATTTTAATAGTTTAAAGAATTTAACATATTTATAAAAAATCTTTAAATTAATACCTTATATTTCAGATGCAAAGCTGAGTTTGTTTGGTTCCTTTTGCAATGGTTTTGGCTTTCGCACATGCAGTGACATGGATTTTTGTCTCACTTTTACTGGACATGACACTGGAAAAGTACTCTCTCTCTCTCTATTTTTATTATAATTTTTTTTTATTAAACACATTACTATTAAACATAAATTAGGCTTTGTTTTTATGACCTTTTTTTTTCAGGATTTGGATCATACAGAAATAATTAAGAAAGTAGCTGCACAACTTATTAAGCATCCAAAGCTTGAAAATATTGTTCCGATTACCAGTGCTAAAGTTCCTATAGTAAAATTTGCTTGGAAAGATTCTGAAATAGAAGGCGATATAAGCTTATACAATACATTGGTAATTTCATTTAGATTCTGCAGAAATTTAACTTAGTTAATTTTTTTTGTGGCTTTCGTATTTATTATCTTTTGAATTGAAATGTATTTTTACGATCTTATTTCTGTTTGTGATATTTCTGTTTATTTCAGGCTTTGATAAATACTCAGATGCTTGAAGCATATAGCAAAATTGATCCAAGAGTTCAAATTTTAGGTTATGGCTTAAAATATTTTGCAAAAGTAAGTTATTTTTTGTTACAAAATATATTTGAAATTTACAATTAAAAACTGTGATGTTGTTATAAGCATTACATATTTCCTAGCTTTTAAATTTCCTTTATTTCATAAATTTAATCATTCTTAATCCCTCTTTAAATAAATAAATTAGTTTAGTATTTTTGATTCAATTTTATAAAGAATTATTGCGAGTATTTCTGTCCTCAATAAATGTAATAATTAACTTTTTATTTCAATGTGAGTGTATCAAGTGAACTAATTATTATTCAATGTCACGGCAAATGAGCATCAAAATGTACTTTTAACCTTTCTTTCACCAACCATATTAAACATTATTATATACATTAATAAGTTTGCTTTAAATTTCACTGAACTTTTTGGCCTATTATTTAAATATGATTATTTAATATTATTCAATGAACTATCTTTGATCAAAAGCCGCGATGGCTCAGGGGATAGAGCATTTTTGAACCAGGTTCGAATCTCAGTCGATACGAAATACGCATCCGGCTTGCGCTGACCTCAGTGCTGATGTGAAATATCCTCAGTGCTAGACGGATCATGGGTTAGAGTCCCCTTGCCGTCAAGCTAACTGTGGGAGGTTCTCGTCGTATTCCTCTCCATGTAAGGCAAATGCTGATTAGCTCAATCAAAAAGACCCCCATGAAGGCAAATTTCTCCCAATTCTCGATCCAGGAGTTCCCTTGTCTTCTGGATTGGGTTCAGAATTACAAGGCTACGGAGTTGAACATTAGTAGTCATGAACTCATAAAATTTGTTCAGCTGTTCAACAGCGGTTATATATATAAAAAAAATAATAACTTGAGGTATCGTGGAGTTGGCGGAATCGTTTTAACTTTTGGCCAGATCTTTTTTCTTTGAATGATCTTTTTTCTTGGCCAGATCTTTTTTCTTTGAGCTGAATTTTGATTTTATTTATTTATTTCAGACTTTGGGTATTTGTGATGCATCTAAGGGAAGTTTGTCATCATACGCATACATATTAATGGTTATATTCTTTTTACAACAAAGAAATCCTCCTGTAATTCCTGTTCTTCAAGAGGTAGGTGTTATTTTTTATTACAATTTCTTTATATTATAATTTTTTTTATTTAATTTTCTGTTTAGTTATTATTCTGGAAGTTATTCTACAATGAGATCTTAAAATATTCGTTGCTGTAAGTGGTACAAATTAAGAAGTGTTTCCCCAAATTTTTAGTGTATCACCAATTATAACAAAAATGTATGAAGCTAATTCTACAAATATAAAAAAAAAAATTATAAAAAATATTTTTCAATTACGTTTTTGATTGTGTATTTTCATCATGTATAATGCATTTCATGTAAATTTTATTCGTTAACAGTCATTAAAAGACAATACTTTTTTCATGCAAACTATGATATATGCTGTGTGTATGTCTCCTTTTGTATTTTAATTTTTTTTTATTATAGGTTAATTATGAAAAAAACAAAAGTTTGATAATAATTTTAAAAAATTTTGTATTTGTAGTTGCACGAAGGAGAAAAACCAGTTGAACTTATAGATGGCTGGAATACATGGTTTTTCAAGGACATCCATAGACTGGTTTGTTTTTATTATTTTCAAAATTATTATTTGCACCTCATTTCTGATAAATTTTTCTATCAATTATAAAAACAGAGCGTTTTACTAACAACAGAATATCATATTTTCTTAAAATATCGAAACTAGAATTGCATGATCTTCTTTAATTAAATAATTTCCGATTACTTGGCACAAACAATACCTAGATTTGAGTGTTTTAAGTGTCGTGTGCAACAATTTCCCTTAAAAGAACATTAGATACAATTCTTTGAAACTAATGTATGACTTAAATAACTAACTTAAATGATGTTTAGTTATTTTTTTTAAATTAATTTTTCCTGTTACAGCTGACTGCTACTTGCAATTTCTTTATTTTTTCTTAAAAACTAAATAATTCATTTTCTTCATAGTAATTAACTAGAGGGCTCCGCCCCCTGCTCACTACCACTCGCCAACCCGGATAATTGCTATGCAATTACATTTTCACTGGCAATTTTTCTGCACCAACATCACATAGAGAGAATATGATAGGATTGTAAAATGTCAGAGGAACTTATTATCAACATTATAAACTTATATAAAGCAATTTCAATACAAACAATATTATAAACTTATATAAATCGAGGAAGCAATATTATTTAACACATTACTATTACTATAGGGCATTAGCCGGAGATTAATCTACGTATCCGAATCACTCGTGGTAGAGCCTAACTCAAATCATTGTTGATCTTATAGGATGCCGGACGCACCCTATATGGTGCTTTATCTTCCCCCTCCCAGTAATTTAAATTTTAAACTAAAAACAATTAAAACCTGATGAAAAAAACTTTACAAAAATTACAAACAAATTAAAACATGTAATATTAATAAGTTGATTCTAAGTAATATTTCAAAAGCAAATATCATTGCAAGTAATTGCTCAATTAATTTCAATACTGTCAACTGACAAAATATTTTAGTTTCAATCAGAAGTATTTGAAAGTACACCAAGGTATTCGTTTTCATTTAAATGTCTTGACTTTTCCACGTTTCTTCGCCGCGCATTCCTCTGTCATGTATTGATAGCACTCCGATTATTTTCCAGTTAATTTTGTGCAGCTAAATCATGCCGCTCTTGATATCGCCTAAGATATTCACGGCAATCCATTTTTTAGAAAAGATATAAGTATTTTAAAGTAAACTCTGTTCAATATATTTTGATAATTTGGAATGTAAATTGTTTTTTGAGAGAGTGTTGATTCGTGCTTCCAATAACTCTACCCGATTTATCAAAGCTATTAAAAAATATTGGAATTCTAAAATAAATAACAGTGTTCTATCAAAACAAGCATTTTATTATGAAACTTTAGAACAACTATCTTTTTACATTGCCACTCGAAATTATTAATAAACACTGGATAATATTGCGTTAATGACACTTTCATCTAATGACATCATAAACAATCGTTTGCATAATTAGTTCATAATAATCAAATATAATCGTTTGCATAAATAATCGTTCAGTCATTTTATAGCTTTACGTAACAAGTGTGAGATTTGTTTTTTTTTTCTTTTTTTGGGAGAATGACGATGTTATAATTTTGTTGTTGAGTTAATAAATCTTCCTTTTTATAAACTTAATAGTAGAGTTTTCTTAATTATTTGATTCGAAGTCCCCTGAGTTTTATTTGAGGTCAGTTTGTATTTTGTATTTTTCGACAGCATTATTAAAAATTATTACCTTTTCACATACATGCGTTCTCAATTTTGATTGCCTGTTTTGTAGATAGTTTTTTTGTTTATAGTACAGTTTTCTTAATTATTTGATTCGAAGTCCCCTGAGTTTTATTTGAGGTCAGTTTGTATTTTGTATTTTTTGACAGCATTATTAAACATTATTACCTTTTCACATACATGCGTTCTCAATTTTGATTGCCTGTTTTGTGCGTTACTAACCAGAAGTCTTCTGTGATTAGCTGCTATGTGTTATCATTCCACTCTCTTATATATAAAGAAATGCATAAATTTTGTCCATCATTTTCAACCCTATCAATAAATGTTGAATGACTTACCCTTAACCAAGTTAGTTTTTGTCATGGCATTTTTTATTCTAGATTGAAGTAATTTTTATTTAATTTATTTCTTTTTATTGAATTTTATTTAATTCTAGGTTTTTTATTATGAATAGTTGAAACTAAATGTATTTTCAACACATGAAATTTGAATGATTTTAACCTTTTGTTTACAGCTCTGAGCATGATAACAGCTGCTACTCTGGTCAATGTTGTACCAGCTGTAAGCAGAGGGCTAATTTTAAAAATAAAGTGTTTTGTTAAAATTATCAAATTTCTTAACCAATTTTTACCAAGAATTATAAAGTTATTTTTACAGTAAAGAAGTGGAAATATCTTTTATATAATGAATTTTTAAAAGTTTTAACCATCTGTTTAATTTAATAATCAAAATATCAATATTTAAGAAGTAAAATCTTTTTCTGAATACCTGTTTTTTAATATAAAATGTGCTTTTAGATTTCTTTTCGAAAAGTTAGATATTATTTTTCGTAAGGCTTTTACTAATCTATCTTTTCCTGTATGTTTTAGAAAGATGTTTGGCCTGAGTATGGAAAAAATAAGGAACCAGTAGCACAGTTATGGGTTGAATTATTTAATTTTTATACTTGTGATTTTAATTGGAGGGAATATGTAATTGCAATTAAACAGAAAAATCCTTTAAGACGCTTTAAAAAACTATGGATATCAGAGGAACTTGCAATTGAAGGTGAGTGCTTTATCACTTGATTTAGATTCTACTTTAAAAAATGTAAAAATTTCCAGAGTACTGGATAAAATTTGAGGAACTAAAATAACTAATACAATCATTTAGCACTATAAGAATGGCTTAAATTTAAACAAATTTAATATTAAAAAATTGCCATATTCATTGAAAAGCTAAATATTTATATTATTTGAGAGTCAGTTTGAGTATTAGTGTTTGATTATGAAAATTAATGCACTATTTGTCATTATGAATTAATGTTTCTTTCATAGTATTGTAAATGTTTAGCTTGTAATTTGTTAATTTAGTAGTATTAATGAAATTTGATTATGAGTTTTCAATATAAAATAAAATAAATTTCTAATATAAAATATTGCACAGCTATTTTAATTTCTTAAATACAATAAATTCATTTATTTATTTTTTGCGATTGCTGCTATTTAGTTTCTTCAAAAAATGTGCTATATTAAATAGCCTAAAAAATTAATACTGTTATTTAAATTAGATAGTATTTATAAACTGTTTAAGAAATATTTTTTTTTAAAAAATGGGGGGATTCTTTCCATTTTTTTTCAATTTGGGTTGAAAGGAACTACCTATTTCTTCTGAGACATTTTTGTACATGGTTTTTTGCTTAGTAGAAAAAACTTGCCATCTTGTTACATGCACTATAAATTATAATGTTGCTAATTAACATAATGTTCTCTTTGAGAAAGAGATGAAGACTGATATTCAGTTACAAACTTATTGTATTAATCAAAGCAATACAATGATTATTATTATACAGTAAAAATTCAATTAAAATACACTTCTATAACAAACACCAACCTTCAAAGAACAATCTTATGTTTATGGTACTGAATATCTTCTATAAGTTTTACATTATGAAAACCTCTGAACAACAGCCACTCGTTGCTAGCATGATTTTTGTATCAGAGTGCATCTTAGTAAACTTTTTTTTTTAGTTTTTTATCTCTTGTCCGCAACAATTTTAATCGATCAATGATGCACATATTTTGTTTCATTGGTCTGTGAATTTAGGTCATTGTTAACAGTTTTAAAGAATTCATAAAATAGTCAGTCATAGATTTAACAGTTCAATATCATCCATTACAGATACGCTATGTATTTCAAGAGTGATCAGCAGATATCACAGGAATATTATTCTATGCTTGTTCTGTTGAAATTAAGCATTTACACTGAAGTCGATCACAGTTTTGACAGTTCAATTCTACTGCTGATAAGCTGCATCTCTCATAGGTGGTTTGCAGAAATCTCAGGTCTAATATACACTCACTCTGTGTCATCGGTCAGCTTTCAAATGAAGATTTTCCTAAAAATTTCCAAACTAGCACAACAAAATTTGTAAAATTTGTTGCACTAAAATTTGGGCGATTTTACTTTTCCATTCTTTATGCTGTAAACACTGATTAAAGTAAATCCTTTAAAAAACTTTAAAAAATAAACAATCAAAATATGAATGATAATCTCTAGCAAAAATTCCTTATATTTTTAGAATAAAAGTTTTTGAGGAAAGTAAAAAAGGAATAATTCTGTGAAAATTATATGTACTTTACAGCAGTAGAAAAACACAAATTAATGGCATCTTACCTATAAGGGATCATGGCATGGATCAGTATTTTAGTGAATTAAACTAGGATTCATAAATTAAGTGACATAGGACAGTTAACTGAAATTTGGTTAACTAATTGCTGTGAAAAACCTGTGCTGATTTCTGGACCAGTTTTACAAGAAAATGCTCCACAAATTGCAGAAAAATTAGGGGTGGAAAATTTAAAAGTGTCAAATCCTCATCATCAGGCTGGCTTGTTCAGAGGTTTTACTGTATAACATTTCCTCCAAGGATATCAAATAAAAATTAAGAAATAAAATTAATTATTAATATTATAAAAATAATTAATAAATGAAATTATGGATAAAACTATGAACCTTGTCAGAAGATAAAGTGTAATACAGTAGTATAACCTGGAAAATCTGGTCTGCTCGGGGTTTTGGAAAATTCTAGAATTTAGTTTTTCTACCAAAATTCAAAATTTTCCGAAGTTAAGGGTCCAAAATTATCTTTTAAAAAAAGTGTGCGATTCCATCATAAGCCCACATTATCTTTTGCGTTTTTAAGGCACTTATCCTACAAAATTACTCAATTTTTTTAAAATTTTGATATTTTAATACATTATAACAACCTCACTCAAAGCAACTCCCGATTTATCTTCCAAAAATCGCCAATGAGTACAGTCAAGATTTCTACCTTGTTTACAAGCCTAGTAGTATTAAAAATTAAAACTTGCTCTTAATTTTGATTTGATCCAAGTTTGATGTTATTAATGTAATTGACGTGATTGATAAGATATGTAACTAATGTTAAAACTTAATTCTGCAATGTAAGCACAATTGCAATATGTTTTTTATAATTTGTAACATTTTGTTTAATTGTATTGTTTTCGATGTAAAAAAGATAAAATATCAAGTAAAAATCTCTAAAAATACATTAAGCAGTCATATCCCACTGTATCATCATATCATACTGCATCGCTTACAATGATTTGAATTTGCTCAAAAAATCTTTCTCATCTCATTAGTTAGTCATTCTGCATAATTTCATTACCGTAAATGTCATCTCCTGTTCACGCCATTTGTACACCACCAAGCTTTGTCGTACCGAAAGTTTCATCATCCTCTTATTTATTTTATTGATTTCACAAAAGAATACATTGTTTCTTATTACTTAATGCTTCTAATTGAACTACAGTGATGGGCATACGGAGTCCAAAATCTGAAAAACGAAAACAGAAAGGCAGGAGAAAATGGAAAACAAATCCATATGTGATTTCAATCGAAGGTATGTCAGCAAAATTTCGAGTTATCCTTACATATCATCTAAGCTTAGTGACTTAAGAAACATAAATCGTGTGTATTGAAGAGAAAAAAAAATATGCAATTTTAATTTCAAAAAAATCACTTTATCATCCATTAGTGGATGCTCTGATTGAAATGTATGTAAAATCACTCATTACTCATTAAGAGACTTTTTTCTTCCTTTTTTTAAGATCAAATCATTTTATCTGATTTTTTTCTATTCAAAAAGTATATTTGTAGCATCGTTTTGTACTTGACTAGAAAACAGAAATTTATGGGTTTATAAATCTGTGTTAATTTAGGGAAAAAAGAAAAATCTTGAATTTTTGAAAAGGATATCTAATATTTTGTTAATATTTTTCATACTAGGGCAAACAGTTTTTTTTTTTTACTTTAATGTGTTTTATACAGTAATTTTTCACATTTATTTAATTGGTGTGCATAACTTGGTATTTTAGAATGGATTATTTCTAATTTAAATAAGATTTTGAGATTGATATGTTTTAAATCATCTCTTAAAAAAATACTCTAATGTAACCAAATTTTGTCACTATTCTTTAAGACAACATTTCATCAAAAGCATAATTCGTCATTTTATTTTCAAGCATTAGTATTTTACCAACAAAAATTTACGTTAATAGTAATGCTAGTCTATGGGTATTTATTTGTATCTTTGAAATTTAAAATAAAAAAATTTCTCAGAACTCAAATATTAACTTTTGGTATGAAAATTAAATCTAGGATTCTGCTTGATATTTGTTAAGAAAAAAAAAACTTTTCAAATAACCTTAAAAATGATTTGTAATGTTGCTTTAAGAAAAAATAAAGTGTTATTTCATTAACTAATTGTCAATGTTTTAAAAGTCTGAAAAGCATTTTCATTAACTTTCAGTTGATAATGTAGGCCTCTTTGTATTGACTGAAACTTATAGTTTCGATTATTAGATAAGATTAAATATACTTTGTTTAAACTGTAAATTAGTATTAATTATAAATCCTTATCAGTAAGATAATTCAGCCAAGTAAAGAAAATTTGGCTAAATACTAAGTACAGTGTGTAGTACTTTCTATAGTTACTGTTTAGCACTATTTGAAAATTTGTTTGAAATTTTAGTTAACTGAAAGTCATTGATTATGGTTGTTTACATTTCCTCCACTAGCTGAAAGCTATGTATGTTTGAAAGTTTTTTATGTTTGTTGCCTGTGAACAGTGCTATGAAATAAGGTTTAACTTATGAAGATCAAGAGAAAAGAGCTGGGTTTTTTTTCCTCCATTTTTCACAAAAATAATGATTAGAATGCCTTCTGTTACATTTTGAGGATTACTATGTTTTACCAAATCTACAGCGCGAAAAATTTGTTCTCCCTGACAGTTATTACAGTGTGAAGATGGACTGAGATAAATGGAAAAACAGTTCCTGCTTCCTTGAATTAGTTTTCCTCTCAATCAGCTTTCATGGACATAAACCGTTCTTACCCCTTGATCTTCATTTATATAAATTATCATTTACAATTTATTCTACATTATATTTCATTCTTTTCTAGATCCTTTTGATTTGCATCATAATCTGGGTGGTGGATTGAGTAAGAAAAGTAAGTTCTTTTTAGTACAAACAAGACTCCCAAATGATCCTCTTTTTCCTTTCAAAGTCAGTTTTTTCTTGTAAAATCCATTTTAGTCCTCTTTTTACTAATTTGAAAATATGTTTAAGGAAGGGTTTCTGTTACGTAAAAATTATGATGCACCCTAACTTTTTATGTCTACTTCTCCCCCCATCATTCAAGTAATTTGAAGTTATCTCAAACTATTAAATCTCTTCATACAGTTCATTTAAAATGATTTTAATCATGCCAACGATTCATTAATAACTAAAATATTGAAATTTTGAACTGCGGGGCCGTTTACAAATTAATCTGTTTACTTCAATTGAAATGTGTAGCTGCATTTGAAATAAGAAAAAATTTTAATTAAAAATATTAATATCTGATTAAAAATTATTAAACCAATTACATTCACAAAAAATATTTTTTAATTTCATTTTTATTTTATGTACTATAATAATTCTTCTAAATAGTAGTTTTTATTATGATTATATTTGCAATTTGAAAAAAAAACTGTGTTTAAAATTTTATGTTACATCGAAAACTCAACTCCTTGTAACTTTCAGAACTGTTGGGGTTTAACTGTAAGATTTATTTGCAATTCTAAAATCATGAAGTTTGCACTCTAATGCAGAGTTCCCACTAACTGTACAATTTATTAAGGCATATTGTTTTTGTGGACTTGTGATTTTAAAGTTTGAATAATCTCTTTACCTCCTTCTTTATAAACAATTTGATAATGGATGAATTTGTCAAAATGGTGAATTGAAGGACCATGCTAATTTATTGTTGACACTATGTATTTTTCTTCCCTGAGCTAATAAATCTCTCTCTTTATTATTTTTTAAAAAAAAAAATTATTATTCAAATTACTAAATTTGATCTGAGAAACATTTATTGTTCAGTTTTTCTAAAAATAAATTTCCCAGCTTCATAATCTTTATCATTATTGAGATTGTATCTAATTAACAATTCAATAATAAATGGAAATTGAACTGGGATCATTCGTTAACTTATGTAGGTAAAATTTTATTTAGGAATTCACTTTCTAATTCACAGCACGTTTATCAATGAAATGAATTCTAATAAAAAAGAGACTGAAGAAAGCTGTTAATAATAGGTTCATTATCGAGGCAACAATTCTACAGATGTGATGAAGTCGGTAAAAATAGTAATTGTTAACATATTATTGTAGATATCCTTAAAAAATAGTTTTAAAAGTTTTTTTTTAACAACTTTTCTTTTTTTCTTTATAATTATTGCACAATTTTTTGTAGCAAGTCTTAAATGTGCCAATATTAAATAGGTTTTTAGAATAACTGGACTCACTTAAATTTTTTTTAGTAAATTTTTTATTTTTTCTAAACTTTCAGGCTTATTTTGGTAAATTATTAATCAAAAGAGCAGTTTTAGAAATTAGTGTTCTTTGAAAATAAATTGTTAAGAAACTTATAATTAAATTTTTATCTTTTTAGTATCCTGTATCTCAATAAATTCTATTTAACTGAATTGTTTACTGTTTATATAATGAACACTAGCAAAATTGTTTATTATAATTCAGATTATAGACTATTTTAACTAAAAATGGGGTCGCAGAGTATTCCACACATTTCTTTCACAAGAAATTTTTTGAAAACAATTATCCAGAAAAGTTTTCTTTTTACACCAAAATATGGAATAAAAGGAAAACTAAAATGTTTTGCATCCTAAATAAGAAATCATTTTGCAAGAACTCTGTAACATTCTGCGACAATGTCACTGCGATTCGGGCCCAAGGCCTGCGTTTTGCTCAGCTCAGTATATTTAAGCTTGGATTTCTGCGTGAATAAAATAAATTTACTTGCAATTCAAAATTTTTAACTTGCTAAGACATCTTTCTTCACCAATTTATTTGTATTAAATTATTTAATTTTAGTTTCACCATTTAAAATATATTTAACTATATGTAGTGATAAACATTTTCCAGTGTTATTGTTGTAAATTTGTTAAAAATTTTAAAGATAAATTTATGTATTCATGACCATGTATGGCCTTTGTTGAACTCGTTAATATATAAAAAAATACACCTAGTTTATATTTTGTACAGTTTACATTCTTACATGAATGTTATCTCTTTTAGTCATCATTAAAGCCTAGAGTTTCATATTTTTCTTGCAATTTTTCAATTTTAAATTCTATTGCAGTGAACGCATACATAATGAAGACTTTTATAAGGGGACGGGAGCGTTTCGGATCACCTTTAATACATGAAAGAATGCATACACTCTATAAACAAGAATTGGTAAATATTTTTCCATAATATCTATCTCTTTATTTATATCTTTTTTTATCTATTATTTACAAATAATTTATTAATTACCTATTTTATACAAGTTTATGTAACATCTCAATTTTTTTTTTAAATTATTAATCGAAATTTGGTTCTTAAAATAAAATTTTAAGAAATGCTAGAGTTTGCCTTTTACAAGTCTATAATACACTCTAAATTCTTTAAAAAGTTTTTTTTTTTATTCTTTTAAAACTTAAAATAAAATCAAAGACATGACATGTGCACAAAGCATACAGTTTTTGCTGTGAGCATTATTATTATTACATAATTATCATTTTGCTACCATTTAAATTAAGTTTTAATTAATAAGTTATAATATTGAACAGAAAGTTTCTTTCCAATTTTAAAATTAGAAATGATTTTAGAGGCTGAAAAACATATCTCTAAGTTCTTTTGGTTATTATTTTAGTTGTGTTATATTTCTTTTAATATCTTTGTACTGTGGTGATATTTTGGAATGATCTTGTGTGAATAACATTTGATACAACTTCATTTTTTAAGATTTTTTATTGAACTTCTAAAATGTAACTATAATTTTAATTTGCAGTATTTATTCCAATCATTGCTTGAGAGGGGAAAATTATTTTTTAAAATTAATTTCTTTATTCTTCATGAATTTATTTTTAATTTTCAAAATGTTAAAGTGTTGTTAATTTTGAATTTGCTTCTATATCCGTATAATATGTACCTTTATGTTCTTTACAGACTTACTTTTACAATCGAAACTTTTTAAATTCTGGACGAGAACCACCTCACGATCGAGGTTGTGGAAATTGTGGTAAAATTGGACATAAGAGAAAGGATTGTCCCCAAGAAAAAACTTGCTCTTACTGTAGGAGACCTGGTCATCTTGTGAAAAACTGTCCTAGGAAACAAGGACAGCCGAAAGACCAAAGAAATATGAAAAAGGGAAATCGCTATAATTTTGGTATGAATTTAAAATTTTAAGAAATATTCTAGATTGAAATCTGCTTTTTATCTAAAAAATTTATGTTTGTTAAAATACTTTTAATTTGACTTTCTGTTATAATGTGACACCCCTTTGTCAGAATTTTTTTGGGCTTTCTGCGACATACCTCTATAATACAAATATCTTTCTGCAAGATATTTAAAAATAACAAAGATATTTCTTACCAATTTAAAGTATTAGAAGCGTTAATTTCAACAACAAAAAAATTAAATAAATAAATTGGATCAAATAAATTTATTTTTTCAATTGAATATGTGATTTTTTTAATTTACTAAATGCATGCTTTAATTTCAAGATTCAGTTGTTGTAATAAATAATATTGGATTTTAAAAGCTATGAGGAAATCAGTGCTGCATGAAAAAATAGAACAAAAATTTCGATAGAGGAGAAAACCAAATTTTTTACTTCATTATTTTATTTATTTTTCATTATTCTCAAATGAGAATAGAAAAATCTCGAGCATTTTTTCCCATACTCCAATGTGTGAGAGGCATCTTTTGAATACAATTCTGAAAAGATAAAAATCTTTCGAAAATTTCTGCAGAAAAGAAAGGCAAAATGTTTTATTTCCAAAAGGAAAAATCTTTCTGCAAGAACTCTGTAACATTCTGCCGCAATGTCGCTGTGTCTCCACAATTCTGCCACGGGGTGTGACGCTTAAATATTTCTGTTTAAAATAGTATGACTTTGTAGCTTTTTGGAATAATTGCGGATTATAAATGTCTATATAGTCAATCAAACTTACTATTTTAAAAGTGCAAACTAACTGCCAGTTACAATTATACTTCGCTAATGTCTTGTAACTCATCTATGCTTGAAGAAACTCTTGTCACTATAGCATTCATGCCCTCATTTTGCTATTATCTACAGCCTTTTTTGTGTGTAAAAATAAATTACTTTTGGGTGATCTTAATTAGTTATCTAAGTAGCCTTGAACTTATATGTATGAAGTTGGATATTGATTTAATTTTTTGAATTGCTTAGTGACTGCAATTTTCATTAATATTTCATTATTTAACCACAAATCTAAAATATATGAGTTTCAAAATTGATATTGCCAATGAAAAAATCAACAATATCAGTTATAATGCAAAACAAATAAATTAACTTTTTAATCACTCTGAAGACAATACATTTTAGTCACTACTTACTCTCAAACTATTATCACATTTCACATTAAATAAAAGCTTGACTTACGGGAATTTTGCCAGCAATTTTGACAATAATTGCTTTTGAGAAGAGCAATTCCAGTAATGATGAGATGCGGTTTGGCAAGTAAGGGAAAAGGCCTCTAGTATTTTTTTTTTATAATTTATTCTATATCTATTCAAATAATATTCCTACATAGATTAATTTAATCCATTTTCACTTAATATGTCCTATTTTTAATCGGTCATTTACATGTTTCTACGTTTAATTTAAATAAAACCTCAACCATTTTCTATCGCTTGTTTATTTTTAATTCTTTCAGCCGATAAATTCTGACAAATATTCATCACTCGTTGTAATCCAAACATTAAATTTTTGGCCTTCAAATGAAAAATTTAATTCACTAAGCCCGAACCACAGTCATTAATTACATACCGATTCTCAAGATCTCTCATAACTGGTTTTACTCATTTTTTAAATTTCACTGATATTTTTCATTGTATTTGCATCTTGAAATGATCCAATGAATGAAACAAAAAAGCAACATCCTTACTTTTTTCAAACCAATTTTTACTTAATTGAAATTTGCTATTTTGTAAATGTTTTTAATTACTTCAAAGCATTTGTTATACTGTATAAATCTAAGTCAAAATGGAAAAGCAGCTAAAACCAAATTTGTCTTATGTAAACAATTTAATAAAAAGTTAGAAATTAAAAACAAGCAAAATGAAAAGTTTTATTTGTTGCCCATAAGCTGCAAGCATATAGAACTCAAGTTAAAAATATAGAAGAAACATAGAAAATAATAAAGATAAATGAAAAGAGATGAAGAATTATTAAACTAAAATAGTTTTAAAAATATATATATATATTTAAAGGCCTGAAAACAAAAAATGCAGAGATAGAATTGTGTAATCGATATAATCATGTAAAGATATAACCTGAATGAAGATATAAGCTGATGAAAAGATTATATCTTTTCATTTTTTTGTTTGTTTTCTAACTTTTTAATAATTTTTCTTCTTCTCTTTTCATTAATTTTTATTATATTTCATGTTTTCTCTATATTTTTAACTTATATCATAACAGATACACACACACACACATATATATATAAAACACACACAATATTGTGTTAAATATTGCTCTAGTTCTCTGCCAAACTTTAAGAGGTATTTGTGTTTCTTTTGGTATGCCTTTTTTTTTTAAAACACCCATTTTTATCTGTAATTATTTAATAATAAATGTGCTTTAATTTTAGTATTTGAGCCAAATGTATTTTTAAAAATGCATGTTAATTTATAATTTGTATGATAAACAAATTAAGGAGGCATAACAGCTCTGAATAATATTAATTTTATGTTTATTTATGATAGTTTGGCAATTCTTTATTATTATTTTTCCAATTTTCAGGATAAATTTTGTTTTAAATTTTTGATATAAAACTATTTTTAAAAAAAAAGTTCAAGAGTTTTGTTTTGAATGTAGGTACAGTAAAACACCATTCTTATACATCTTTCATGTGATCAATTTAAATTGATGTATACATTAAAAAACATAAAATAAAATTAAACAAACTAGTGGAAATTCATATAATAAAAAATAATTTTGATAACATTATAGTATTGTTAATATTTGACATTTTATATTATTTTTTAAGAAAAAATAAAGGTAATATATAGTAGTTAAAATTGAAAACAAAAAATCTTTTCAAAAGTAAAAGAAAAAAAGCAACTTACATTTAATTTAAATCCTAAACTCTCAAAGATATATGTTACTGTGGATTACTAAAATCAAGAGAATGTCAACTTTCACCAGTGAATGTCAACAATCATATAGTCGCTTTGGTGAATGTTTGAAATATTTGTTTGTCTGATTTGATACTAATTTATTTGCTAATATTATTATATTTATTCATTATTTTAATATCTGCTAAGGATAGATTAGGGAAAACACCAGTGTTCAAAGCGGCGGCGCTTGACCTTAAAAAAAACATTGATGTTAGGCATACCGGGCAAATGTATACTAGGTAGTTGCACTGAACCTTTTAAAAACATCAGTGTAGGTTATACCAGGCAGTGACGCTTGGCTAGACCTAGTATATATTTCCGACGTTTGCGAAGTGACTGTGATTGTCAACATTCATTGGTGGAAGTCAACAACCACTAATTAGGTCTTAAAGTCTACCAGTATAGAAAGTAATGTAACATATACATTACTTTCTATACTGGTAGACTTTAAGAAAAAAAATCTCCATCTGTGTGAGTGGAGGGGATCTTTTTTTAGAACTTACTTAGTTTCTTGAATCAATATTTGTGTACTTATAACAAAAATGAAGTATAACCAAAAAGTTTTTAACTATATAACTTAACTATATTAACATTGCATAGATTGAGAAAGAATTAGAACTCTAATGAAAATTAAGTACATGTGAGAAGCATATGAATAGTGCTCTGCTGTATATCATAATGATATTTGATTGTTTCTTTTAATAATTTATATTACACATTATTTGCATTGATATTTGTAGACTCTCCAAACAATGAAAGAAAAGGATCTGTGGAAAAAGTTCAAAATCAGCGTATGCCTCAACATCATCCATTAATGAACAATGATGTATTGATGAGAACTTTCCCTGGCATGAATTCCCCATTCGATTCTCAAAAATTATTACAAATGGGTGTTCCCATGCATCGTATGCCTCCCCCAGGTTTTCCTGGTAGGACTCCCGCAAATCCTCCTCCTGGCTTCAAAAACAATGCTCAGCTACTTCAAAAACCTGCAGGTTATGCATCACCATTTCCACCCGTACCACCTTTTCCTAGACAAGGGAACAAAAAGGAAGTACTTTCTCAAAGCCCACCTAAACTCTACAGTGGATCACCGCCCAAAAACTTCCAGCAAAATAAATATCATAAAGTGCAGGAACCATCGGGGTGGCCCGTGAATCCTCGGAATGTTCCGTTTCAAGTCGAAAGACACCCTAATCCCCAACGCATGCAAGGAAATGGCCGAGGTCATTGGCTGAATAATAGACCTTTACTTCCCCATCCTGTTCAGCACAAATCTAATCAACATCAGACTATGGATCATAGACGCAATAGGACCAATTCTGATCATCAGCCATATAATTCAAACTCTGACAAATGGTCCTCCCGTTGATGCAATTAATTTCTTTTATTAATTAGTTGTTGTATTTGTAATATAGATTCAACATCATTGCATAAATGACGTTAGTTTCTTTTACTTAATTGACGAAATATTTTTGTTAAGGGCAATTATTATTATACTATTTCTTTTATTCCTGTTGGGGCGTCATACAGACGATTTTATTGTTGATTTTTTTTTCTCTCAAGCATTAAAAATGTATATTATGCTTAAGCAGGCATATATGTAGTAATGTTTATTTCCTGACTAAGTAATTCATTGATTATTTTCAAACTAGTTATATTTGTATAATTTTTTTCACTATTTTAATTAAATTGAAACTTTCTAAACTTTTTTATTTATAATAAGACTACAGTTAAGTCTTCAAATGAAGTACATATTGTTTTTGCATTCTCAAATTATATGAAGCATCAAACATTGAGAAATTAATAAAATCGGATTAGAAATATGTTTTACATTTGTGCTATTTATTCAAAATCGTTCTAAGATTTCCTTTCAAAATGTAGCTTAATTTAGCTTATGTTAGTATTTTGTCCGGCATATATCTTTTAATTTGGGTTTAAGAGCTTTGTATATGGTTTCAACCATAAGGAAAAAAAAGGTTATAAAGTGTTTAAGAAGATGTATATATATTTGTAATTTAGTTGAAAAATGTTGTATTTCTTTCTTTAAGAATATGTAGAATGAATAGAAGTCAATTAAATTCTGGAATCTTTTGTTATTATTTCAAGTATTGATATATTTTAGAATAGTTTGAAAGATTTTGTTTTAAACTGTCAGTTTAGGGTATTTTCTTAAAAAAAATGCAGGGTAAGGATCCATCTGAATTAATCAAAGATTTTTAAAGTCTTGCACTCTTTATTCTCTCTCTCTCTTAGTAGAAAATAATTTTCCAGGAGAACATGATATTTTTTGCTTTTTTTCTTGAATTGAACCAGGTTTTTATCTATTCAGGAAAAACAAAATTATAAGACTGTCTAAATATGTAATTTTTCTCATTTTTTAACATTTTAAAAATGTTTTACTAATATTAGCATTTTGTATTAACGTCATCTGTTTGCTTTTTTCATTCATCTTAGTAATAAATTAAACTTATCTAACAATTATGCATTATAACTGAAAACTATTAATTTTTTTTATCTGTTTCTTTCACTGAATGAAAATAAACAGTGCTACTGATTTATATTGTTTATTTTCTCCATTCATATAAAATGCTTGTCAATTTTAATGCGCAGTTATATTTAAAAAACATTAGTGTAAAAATTTACGGATTAAATTCATAATAATTATTCAGTGTTTTGATAATGTTTATTCCATTTTCCATCAGAAAACTTTTGTATATTAAATTTTTTACACATAACTGTATTTAAATGCAGCCATTTAAATCTTACCTCTCAATTTAAAAACAATTTGAATGCAATTCATTGTAATTGTCAAATTTACTCTTAACAAATCAGGTTGATTATTTTGTTTTCTACTGAAAATTATGTAAAATATTATGAATAATTTTATCTTTTTATTTACAATGAAGTATCAGTATATTCTGTACAATTCAGTATAAAAATGTAAATGAGACAAAAGATAATTGTTTCTTTGAACCCTGTGTCATATCAATACAAATAGTGTTATTGATTCTAATGTTTATACATGTTTTTTGTAATTCTTTTAATCTTTGCTAATTGTAAAAAGGCAAAATATTATGATTTTAAACTTGATTCAAAATAATTCAAATTTGTAGCTATAATTTTGTTAAAAGGTAGAAATTGTTTATCTATCCAAAGTCATTTTATAATTTTTCCATTCCAGCCTGGGACATTATCTAAATGATAATTTATTTCTTTACAATGCAGCAGTTATTAACTTTTTCCCCATATCAGTTTATTTAAAGACTGAAATGCTTTTGTAATAATTGAGCAAATATTATTTAGAAATGTAATAAGCAAATTTTTTCCTCGTCTTAAACAAGAACTAAAATCTTATAATGGACAAGTTTGTTGCAATATAAAGTTATTAGACTCAAGGTAAATGGGGAAATAAAAATGAAATGTTAACTAAAGTAAAAACATCAAAAACAAAATTTTTTTATTTATTTATTTTTTTGTCAACATCCAAACTTTTTCCATTATTCAGTGATGTAATTTTAGCATTGTATCTTACATATTTGATACACAATTTGGGGGGAGAAAGGTAATTTCACTTAACGTACAAATACTTATACAGATAATACGAAATAATATTTTTTATTTAAAAATAAAATAAGATTTAAGTTATTTTTTACTCCATATAATGCGCTCATTCTCTTTAAAAGCAATTAGTTAAGCAATATAATTTTTATAAACTTTCAGAATTTTTTAATCTATTTTATAAATTTTGCTCAGGGAAAAAAAACACTTTTTTTTTATTCAAAAAGTTCCTAATTTAAAAAATATTTTATTTTTACAAGATGTTGCTTCATATCTTGTAAAATTACGAAACAATTTTTAAAATAAAATTATTTACTACTATTATTTTTACATGATTATGTAACTTTGCATACTAATAATGTTTTAAATATTCTACAAAAAGTATGCATCTTTTACTTTATAAAAATATCTAATAGTCATAAAATATTTATTACAACCTAGTAACAGTTAAAGAATATTTCTTATTGTTAAATATAAACTTTGATGTAAAAACTAAATATTATAGAGATAATTGGTCCTTAAATATGCTAATTTCATTGTAATTTTCTCATTTCAGAATTTTATCTATTAAGCTTATAAAATAATCATTTTTTAAAAATATTAAGTTCGTTGTTTTTAACTGAAATTTTTGAAACTTTTGAGGTGCAATATTTAATTATTTTTTTTTTAAAAATAAAAAATATTTTAATGTTTAAAATATGAATTTATTTTGTAACTTCAGTTCATTTTTATGTGAAGGTATTCATGTGTGCTTTATGCTAAGAAAAATAATGCAATTCACTATGAAAGGAATAACAATTTTATATATTTTACACTTATTTCTTGACTTTATATTTCAACTAATCACTTTGATAGTGTTATAAATGCTCTTCATCACAATGTAAGGTGTCTACTGACTGCTAGCATTTGCTAATTAATTTATTTGTATTTTAATTGGATTTTTATGAATTTTAATTGAACATTCTTGTTATATGCTCAATGCAAACAAGCTACTAATAGCTGTTTTTATGTGATGAGAATTTAAAATCATAAATTAAATAAAATTTATTTAAATTTGTTGTTAGTGATTTACTTTAAGAGTTCTATTTAAAGATAACTTTATTGTTTTGTATTATTATTATACCTTTCATTAAGACTCAATAATGAAATTAGAATATTTAATCTTGCGAGATTATGAAAAAGACAACTAGCAGAAAATTAATCATGGTGCATGAAAAATAATTTTAGATAGAGTAATTTGCAATGAAAAAAAAAATAGAGCAGGTAAAGGAAAACTGCAGTATTGATTCTTGCAATTACAAGTCTAAAGCAAAATTGACTAGTTCCAGATGAAGATATATTTAAAGAAAGGAGCTGGTGACAAAAAATGCAGTGTCTTTTTCTTTTAGTTATTCAAAAGTTCTTATACATAATCCTTTCAATCAATAAGTAGTTCTTTTAAATATAATTCTTATAAATAATTTATAATTCTTTTAAATATGTAAAAAAAAATTTTTTTACATTTTTAGATCTTAAAAATTCTTAAAATTTTATCTCTGTTCAGCCTCTTGAAAGAGATTTTATACATGTGGCAATGTGCACATTTATTTAAACTTTTTTTTTTTTGTCATCTCTTATTATTTATCATCTCTGTTATTATTTGCACTAGGCTATAATGCAGTGTCTTTTTCTTTTAGTTATTCAAAAGTTCTTATACATAATCTTTTCAATCAATAAATAGTTCTTTAAAATATAATTATTATAAATAATTTATAATTCTTATAAATAATTTATAATTCTTTTAAATATGTAATTCTTTTTTTACATTTTAGATCCTAAAAATTCTTAAAATTTTATCTCTGTTCAGCCTCTTGACAGAGATTTTATATCTGTACACATTTATTTAAACTTTTTTTTTTGTCATCTCTTATTATTTATTATCTATCTCTATTATTATTTGCACTAGGCTATAAATAAAAAAAATAATTATTAAACCTTAATTGTTTTGTGAAAAAATTTACCAACGTTTTTTTCTGATTTAATCCAATTTCCTTAAATAGGAAAAAAAAATTTCTTCAAATTTTTGTTAGACATGAAGAAATTTATCATAGTGTAAATTTATTTTTACTTTAAGTAAACAATTAAGCAAGTCCCTTTTCAATTTTTTTTTTTAGAATGATGATTGCGAAATAATTACAAGCAAAGCAGGGAATCGGTGTAAAATTTTTGTTGAGATTCCATCCCATTGTAACAAGTTGTCATCTTGAGTTTACCAAGAAGTATCAAAGGTGGAAGAAAAAAAAGTTAAATCCTAGAATAGACGTGTGAAATAAAACGAATCAATTGCTTCTTTTTTTAATTAATTTTTTTAAGCCGAATTGTGTGAGACCAAACCTATAACCTACAGGTAGAAATAGATTACACTAATAGAGATCAGTCACAAATCTGAATAAACATAATTTTTTTTCTCGGATGAATTTGGAATTCGGATCCCCAAAATACAAGGATTGCCGCAATCGTGTAAATATGGTCCCAATAGTTTGATCAGCAGGACTGATCCGGAAATCGATGGTTCAGACGTTTCAAAAAATCATTGATAACAGAAGTTTCCGGAAATCAAATTTTCTAAGGTGGAACTTAAAAACACAGTTTATTTTACTTGTTTGTATGGGAGAGCCAGAGAGATACTTTATAAGCTTATATTCATGATTAATATTCATTTTTTATCAGTAAATAGTTGTTATAATCATAAACTCAAGAAAGAAAGACATATTTGTAAATTTTAATTACTTCTCCAGGTCATCATAGGTATGTGTAAAATTTTAAATATATTTTAAGTAAACTAAGAAATATTGAGAAAAGGAAAAAAACCTTGTTTAAATTTTATTTCAATTAAGAAAAAAAAAATTTTTTTTCGGAATTTTGATTTGGGGTTGGCTTGCAATCACCCCTGGATCAGGAGAGCGGTTCGTAAGCCTGGATCCCTTAATGATAATTTTACGTATTTCGCCATATCTCGACAATATTTGGAGGGAATCGAAAAATTTTGCTCACAATTATAAAATTCGTTTCTCTCCAAAGATAAAGCAAAAAAATATTCTATATTATTTTTAATTATTTTATTTAATAATAGACTAAAAATTTGGAATTTATGGTATTAAATTTTTTTTTATTTTATTTTAAAGAATGAATTTTGTGAGTCGAAGTACAAAACTGGAATAGAATCGGTTGAATAGTTCCTGAGAAATAAAATTTTAAATATACGACTTATTTTAGTTTTTTGAATTCATTTACCAGTTTCTTAATAATCAAGCCGGAATGACTTAAGGCATTTTAATTTTGTTAATTTTTATTTTAATATGCTTTTATTCTTTAGTTTTGCTGGCTTAGCACGATGCTCGCTTTACTCGCTCATTGGATACGTTCTTAACGTCTAGCTTTTGTATACTTTTTTGAACACTGAAGTTCCGAAAACTTTTCACTGTAGAAATTGCTAAACCTGTACATTTCAATATTAATTTGAAATTGCAAACAGTTCACATATTTTTCTTAATCACACTATTCTAAATTTCAGTTGTTGAGAAAAGTAACTGTTGNATATTGTTATAACGTTATATTGTTGAAACAAATTTGATGAGTTCACATACTTAATTTAATATTTTCGCTTACCAAACGGAAGGATAGATTAACAACTTTTTTGTTGTTGCCTGCATCTCATTGTGCATGTAGCTGATCGTTAAGTTCTAAATCATTTAACAGATCTCTTTAACTGTAATTTATAACAGTATATTAATGTTATTTGCTCAAAAATAATAATTGTTAGACCACCTTTCTAAATAACTTTATCTTAAAATGTAAGGCAGATTTACATTATAATACTAATAAGAAAACAGCAATTCTCTTAGTTTTAAACTCTTGAATTAAAAGCGTAATAATAGCAGTACAGGAAAATAACTTTAAGTTAGGGATTCAAAAATATTTAAAGAAAAGCATGACTTTTATTAATTTTATGCTGACTACAACCAAAACAATAAGGAGACGAATGAGGAAAAACTGGATCACACCACGTGATTTTCTGGCCAATAAAAATGCACTGACAACAATGGAAAACTGCGACACCATCATTAGAATTTTATATATAGTAAGATATGAACGTTTTATTTTAATGTCATTCAACAAAAACTGATTTGGAAACATTTTCAGTAATAGTTGATTTACGTTTAACATTCAAAGTATGCATGAATAAAATCGGCCATAGGTAATCTTAAACTAATTTTTTACTAAAAATCATGTTTCTTTCTCATTAACTGAATAATAATTCGTACAATTAAGGACAGCAAAACCGTTTTATTAATTTTTTGTTCCTTATTGGTAATGAGATAAATGTCTTACCGTGTATCAAAAAGTTTAAGAAATTACACTCAAATCGATCTCATTGCGCATAACTTATGTTTATAGTTAAAAATTAAGCCTTGGTGGTTAAAACATTTCTCATTTATTCCGTCATTTTTTTTTTTTTAATGTTCTACGTTTAACAGTTACATTAGTAAATGCTATTGATAATTTAATTAATTATAATATCAGCGGAATTATATAAGTTTTATATTAATTATTCTACATCAGAACAGTCAACCAAAATTTCTTTTAGAAACTTTTCTTAAATTTATTTTTTTTTTAAATAAAGATTTTTTAATTATATTGACGCATAATAAATTTCCTTAGAACTGTGTTTTGTAAAATAATTATTCGATAGAAAATAATACGATTTTTATATTGTTTTGCGGAAATGTTTTCATACCCAGCCGTTTATCTAAAAATGTTTGTGAGAAATGAGAATTTTTTTTTTTNTTTTTTTTTTTTTTTTTTTTTTTTTTTTTTTTTTTTTTTTTTTTTTTTTTTTTTTTTGTAATGTGTAAAACAGATCTTATTTTATTTAAACTTTACAAAATGTGATCAATATATTTTGAGTTTTTTTTTTTTTTTTTCCTTTTTTTCAGTCTCTCAAGGGGGCTCTTGCACAAACCAGAAATTGCTCGCTAATTCTCTTAAATTTCTTATGCAATTCTTTTCTGATCACTCCGCAATATATTGCTGGAACCGAATAACAACCGATAAACCGAAACTACATTACTAAATAATGGCTATGCAGAGCCATAAATGGTTATTGGCTATCAATTTAGTGAGAAACGTGTTAAGTTGACCATAAATGTAATCTACCGCAAGCGATTAACTTATTCAGGTTTCGCTACTAAAATGAAATAAAACGGCATTATAAATAAAGTGTGACAACGTGTGTAAAAATAAAATGGAAAGTGTGATAAAAATAAAATGGGAGAAACAAGCTAGGTACTTTAATTACGTAGCACTAGAATTGCACAGCGGTCTATGGGCAATTGTCTGAGTAACATCCCTGAAGACATGCTATCACAGCTTTTATCTTCTTCAGAGGGGAGCTCATCTTTGAGGCTATTTCCTCATTTTAGACGTAGATCTGAAGGGGAAGAAAATTTTCTCCAGATCTCTGTACCCATGGAGATGTTCAGAGTTCGACCACAGGACTTTCGATTCCACAGATTTTACGAGCATATCGCATATACTGGGTCTTAGCGGAGGCGAGGATCGGCCCCTAAGGACAGGAGTCTGATTCTCTAACCACTAAGCTACCATGGCCCTCGGGAGAAACAAACAAAATAAAACGATCAAAGATCAACTTTTTTTTGCAGTTATATCACCCGTATTTTTCAGAAGAAGATAAAAGCTTTAATCGGATTGAGCTCGCCATTAGCCGCGAAGAATCATGTCATTATTCTGAATGTAGAGGGTGTTCAGTAATAACTGCTTTTTATATATAATTTTAGAATCCTTGCCTAAAATAAATTAAAAGTTTACTCACCAGATGTCGCCAACTGAAATTTCAGCGAGGAAAAACATAAACACAATAGAAACTAGTGACATGGTGCGTAGCGTTTTTAAAAAGTGCTTAAAGGTGCTTATTTTCGATTTTCATTATTTAAAAGCCCTTAAAGGTGCATTTTTCATTGGATGTTTTTAAAAAGTGCTTAATTTTCCCTTTTCAAAA